CACCACAACTGAATGACATGACTCTGCTGCGGGCAGGGGGAGGCAGTGCAGTCAGGAGTGTGACAGCTGACAGCGTGTGTCCCTGCGGTGACCTGAGTGAATCCCCTAGGCAAGCACATGGGTGACCCTGTGACACGTGTGACCCTGTGACGTATGGGAAAGTGAGTTCTGACGTTCCATCAGGATGCCAGGGTCACCCTCCAGCCCCTCTTTCCTCACCCCAAATTAACAAAGAAACAGAACCCCCAATCCAGAATAAGGCCTGCTCAGAGTCCAAGGAAGCAGCTTCCCTTGGCATGGACTTCTGGGACGGTTAATGGGGCCTTAACAAGCACTGTGGGTGTCCAGGCAGTGGGCAGAAGACCTGCCCAAGATGTAGAGCAGGCAACAAGAGAGTGGGTACTAAAGGTGAAGGGTCCCCAAGTCATCCACAAGGGTCACAGGTCTGTCTTTAAGCAAGACAGGAAGAAACTGACCACCGCCCCCACCCCAACACACACACACACACACACCCTACTTCCTGTTAAACAGGGAAATAGCATAGCACGATATGAAATACCCGTCAGACTGCTGAGTGATATATATTAGCTCCTTACAAATAACAGATTGACTATCTGGGAATTCTGACTGAATTCTATTCTGGGAATAGAGCCTGAGCATTTATATTTTTATTAAGTGCCAGATTATTAGCATGATGCAAATCTAAAATCAATGGCTTAAAACAGCAAGGAAAAATAAAGAGCAAAATGTTAAGCTCTCCAGTAAAATTTGAGCTGGGTGGGTGGTGATACATTAGTTTAGACAGGCTCATCAGGCAGCTGTGTGTGTGTATGTGTGTGTGTGTGTGTCTTAGATTGGGGCAGCCAGGTTGGTGAGGCATAGAATCAGTTGTACAAGAATACTGAGTAATTAAAACACTTTTTTATCATGAGGAGGATCAGGACCAAGTGGCAGTAGAAAGAAAGGAGAAAATTAAGCAAAGTCTAAATGATTTCGTGGGAAAAATGAAGATATTAGTGGCTTACAAAAGGACAGATTTGGCTCTCAATAAACAGAGAATTTAACTATAACCTGGCATTCAACTTACCCTACTTACTATTGTTTACTGACCTCTAATGATTCATCTTCTAGCAAAGACAAATACGGAAGCAAATATTCCTACTCTGGCTTATAAAAGAAAATTCAAGCAATTTTAATCAGTCCTGCCAGCAGTTTAGAGAATCCATTTAGCAAGAGATGTATGTTTATAAATAATCAAAGATGCCATTAAAATATAACTTGGTAAACAGGCATTACCTATTTAATAAGTACAATATATACATAGATTTCTCTTGAAAAGCTTCATTTATACAGAAACATATTTACAAAATGAACAGCGTCATCAAATGAAAGAATATGTACAATGCATACATGTGTGTGTATATATATATTATATATATGAACTTTGAAAGACAAATAAGGTTTTCATCATTGCAGTTAAAATGGACAGCCATATGCATTTTAAAAATTCCATTCCAGAATAAAACACAATGGTATTTTTCACTTATTTTCCTAAAATTCTTCATGTTTGGATACTTGGAATTTTTCAAGTTTCTAGTGCCACCAACTGGTTTGAACTTAACCTCAGTGTCAAAATATCAGACACTCTGTTTTTAAAAAGTTATAGAAAAATGAGCTTCTGGAGTCAATATGCGTAAGGCAAATCAACCTTCCTGAAAATCAGTATGGTTTACACATATTCCCCGGGGTGGCAGGTTAACATTTACCAGAGCAATGGTTTCTCTAAAGGCTTTTTCTTTCAACCAGAACATCTCAACCAAAATTCACACATTAAAAAACCTTTAGAGACTAATATACTGCAAAACAATGTTTGAACATACACACACGAGAAACAATTAGATGCATCTTCCTAAGCATCAAGGAGGCATTAAGAACCACTAAAATGGCAAAATGCCAATGACCTTTCCTGATCTTTGGGTTTTTTTTCCTTTTTCTTAAAGAAATACTCAGCTGTGACAAAAATGAGGGGACATGTGCAGAACCATCACAAAGATGACAACCTACTGACGCAGACCTCAGCAAGAATTCACTTCCCAAAGCCTCATGCCAGGGAGGGCTTCTGAGTCAAGCTACCTGCCCCGGAGGACTTAGGTGTGTTCCTGGCCCAGTAGAAGGGATGAGGCGAAAAGCCTCCCGCCCCCCCCCCCCCCCCCCCCACCAACAATGAGAGTTCCAGGGGCAGGAAGTTTCCTGGCTGGTGTGTGCCCCAATCTAACCATAATACCTAGCAGGGGGCCAGGTAGGTTCCCCCCAAAATGTGCCCAATCAAAAGAATGATAGGTTGGTAACCTGGCCATATTTAATGTCAAGATAAGACTGCTTTAACATGATTATAAAGATGAAAATTTTTTAAAAAATAATTGAAACTCATTTTTCAGCCCAAGTTTATCATTTTCAATGCTTAACACTTAGGCTAAAGTTATAAGTGATTATGGGAAAAGGGAAGTCACTTTAAAAAAAAAGAAAAAACAGGCCAATATGGACCACCACATGGAGTGCGTGTATGCTTGCAGATAACGTACAGGACTCTGGCTTCTCCGAGTCAGAGATGACTTTGACTTTGAAGACCAGAATTACCAGTAAACATAAAAAGCAAATGCCCCCGAGAACTCAGGGTTATCCAGACCATGTTCCTCTTCCGGTCACCCCACCTTCTCCCCAAGGATCCAATAGAGGAAGGGAGAGGCCCTCCACCCTCACATGACGCGTAGAGAGCGGGGACTATTTCTGTGCCTTACTGTGCTCGGTCCTCATACACGCACCAAACGGCACCCCAGAAACTCAAACACAAAAGGAGAACAACGCATTTTCTTCAAAAGCTGTCCACGGTTTTGCTCATTTAGAGGAGCGAGGAGGTAACAATTAGTAAAAAATATGGATTTCAATAGTTCTCCAAATAAAAACAGGTGGCACAAACGTTAATGTTGGAGCTTTGTGCTGCATGTGCTGTATACTCATGTTGTAAAAGCCTACGGGCCTAGGATGCATATGATTCTGAACTTCGGCTGGTCTCCGGGAACACTTTGTGTGTCTTGGAAAAACAAAGAAAATATTGTAGTGAATGAACCTGCATCACATCAGCAGCCGTAAAATTTCTTGAGGAGGGTCAGGGACACGGCTCAGCGGCAAAGCACTGTGCATGGGCCAAGCCCTGGCCTCAGATCCCCGGCAGAAAAAAAAAGAGAAAAGAAAAAGTGAAGGTGGACTACTCTGATAGTCTATAAGAAAACGAAAATAACTCAGATTTGATTGCACCTGCCCTCTTACTCTTTATTTTGATAAAATATTGATAAAAAGAACAAGACACGCTATGGTGAGACTAAATCTTTTTACAGCTATTTAAAATATAAAAGTCTTTGAACTTCTATTTCCATTTTGAAGTGAAAAGATTGTCTTCAAAAGACAACATAAAACTCAACATACAGGGGGAAATGACACCAGGATGAATCATATAACCCTCAGTAAATGGTCATTTTAAACCACGTTGTTAATTTAAAAAATGCTAAAACACATTAAAAAGGGCACTGCCACCATCAGCCCCACTTTTAGACCATAAAATTGTTAATATATTGCCCCAAAGCTTACTTCTCTACAGGGAAGGAAAAGGCATGTAAAAACCCCAAATAAAACTGACTCTTACTGCAACATCAACATGTGAGTCAAAGTAATGAGATAAATGGGAAAAACCACACAATAACAGACAAGAAATGTTCAGAGCTGATTAAAAAAAAAAAAAAGAAATGACAATACTACTACTGGCAATAAACTGCAAATCTTAAATAAATATTCTAAAAAAGCCACAGGATAGGGGCTGGAGTGATAGTACAGAGGGTAGGGAGCTTGTGGATTCTATCCTAGCATCCCATATGGTCCCCTGAGCACTGCCAGGAGTAACCCCTGAGCATTGCAGGGTGCGGCCAAAACCAAGACAAAACAGGATATATGTTTGGCTTTCAAATTCCTTTGGCTATATAGAGATGTAGTTACTTTGTGTTTTAAGTAAATGTACTAAAAATACATCCCCCTGGAGGACTGTAAGGTCCTGGAGCCAGGCAGAGAGTACAAGGGAAAGGTGGTGCCTTGCTTGGGGGCTCACCCCCGTTCGATCCCCACCACACAGCACCGCCGGATGTGGCCCAAGAAACAAAAAAAGAAAAAAAATGATTCTACTGTTGTATGTAAATATGTCAATTAATATCATATGCTGGATTATCTTGGATACTGGTTCTTCAAAAATATCTTTAACATTTCTTGTTTAAAGAAATGTTAGTTTGAAGTCAGTTTCAAAAATTCGTTCCGAAGGTTCTAATAATGACTAATTCTTTTCACAATTTAAAATATATCTAACACACACACAAATCTTCTCAAGGACCATATCATCCATAATAATAATAAGGCCCTCCCGTTGATCATCGATTTGCTCGAGCGGGCCCAGTAACGTCTCCATTGGAGACTTTGTTGTTACTGTGTCTGGCATATCGAATACGTCACGGAGAGCTTGCCAGGCCCTGCCATGTGGGCGAGATACTCTCGGTAGCTTGCCGGGCTCTCCGAGAGGGGTGGAGGAATTGAACTCGGGTCGGCCATGTTGGCTGTGTGCAAGGCAAACGCCCTACCGCTGTACTATCGCTCCAGCCCCATATCATCCATATTATATTAAATCATCATTTGTGTAACTAAAGACTTAGGGAAAACAATTCCCCCACTATTAAAATTCAAATTTGAAAAACCGCATCCAGCAGAGACCAGAAATCCTGACAGACACGAGGTGGAGGGTGCCTGCTTGCTGTGGCTACTCCCCTATTGGCTTCGATTAAATAAAAAGACCAAGAAAAGAAAAGAAAAGAAAAGAAAAGAAAAGAAAAGAAAAGAAAAGGAAAGGAAAGGAAAGGAAAGGAAAGGAAAGAAAAGAAAAGAAAAGAAAAGAGAAAAGAAAAGAGAGAAAGAAAAAGCCACTGGGATCCCCCAAACCCAACGAAATATTACACTGGAATGTCAAAACAAAGTCTTTTATCACTTCTTTAAGTTTTCTCCATGTGGGGAAAAGAGTGTGTGACTGAATGATTAACACTGCCTTTTCATGCATAATTTTTAAAAGCTGAATCAGTCTTGACAGGAAATGGTGGAAAGGGAGGAATCTCGGTGAGGGGTGGAAAAGCCCTGGCGGCGACTGCTCAGCACTTCCGAGGACTGGGAGGGAGCAAAGGAAGGTGTTGGAGTGAAGTGGCAGGTTGTCACCAGAGAAAATAAAATTTCGTCAAAGTGTATTTCACCTATACAGCAACAGAGCAATGCATTCATAATCTGAGAGGATACGTTTTTATACAGATGAGCAAAATAAACTTGTCACGTGGCTGACACACAGAGCCGGGCCCCGCGCTGAGCCCCGGAAGCTGGCTAGGGTTGCTTCGTCCTCTGCTCCAGCTCATGCTGGTGTTTGATGAGACGCTCAATTTCCGTCCCGAGGGTTTGCAGATTTTCCTTGAGCAAAAGGAAGGAGGAGGAAAAGAAAACAAAACCACTAAGTATAACAAGTCCAAAGATTCTGTTGAAACTTCTCTTGCCTAAATTTTGAAGTGAGGAGTGAGCATTAGTTTTAAATACTCCGTGAGATTAACTAGGCACATAATGTTTTCGGTTGGCTCATGGATTTTGGTCCTACTTGAGTGTTTTACTGAAGCTACAGCAAATATGAATGCATAAAATAATTACTTAGTAGGCCTGGAGGCATAGTATAGCTGGTAGTGCGCTTGACTTGTATGTGGCTGACCTGAATTCTATCTCCGGCACCCCAGATGGTCTCCCGAGCCTGTCAGGAGTGATTTAGTGCAGAGCCAAGGGTAAGCCCTGAGCACGGCTGGATGTGACCCAAAAAGCAAACAAAAATTTACTTAGTAGACTGGAAAAATTATTTTAAAGACCTGTAATTATCAGGACCCAAGTATAGCATAACCAAAGTAGTTGGGCTCAAATAAGACTTGCAAGGAATAAATACTGAAAATATATTAGAAAATGACTTTTTTTTTTGGGTCACACCCAGTAATGCACAGGGGTCACTCCTGGCTCTGTACTCAGGAATTATCCCGGAAGTGCTCAGGGGACCATTTGGAATGCTGGGAATCGAACCCAGGTCGGCCGCATGCAAGGCAAACGCCCTACCTGCTGTGCTATTGCTCCAGCCCAATGACTAAATTTTTAAAAATGTTTTAGTAATCAATTATAACTAACACTAATGCATGTGAAAGGCCAGACATTGCAAAGTAAATAACTCATCCTGGTGTCTGCCCAACAGCCAACTTCATTGTAGGTATTTTGTTTTTTGCTTGTACTATACAAAAAGAAGGGGGGGGAGGCTAAAATTTTATCTCTAGTTGAATGGTTACCTTTTGTTTTAAAAACAGCCCACCTATAATGCTCAGCCAAACTCTGCCAAGTTGACTGTTAGTAAGTGAACGAAAAACACAAATACCTTCAAGGTGATATTTTTCAGTAGCGTGTCCTCTAAAACGGCCTGCAGCTTGCGGTTGATCTCCAGGGAGAGCTCCAGGGTGAGGCCGCTGTCGGCGGGGTGGGACGTGTATAGCGAGGCCATGATGCCGCCCCTGCGGCTCAGGTGCACTTTGTTGAAATCAGACGCCTCTGAGGAAAGCGTGCCCGACTCTTCCCGTAAAATGTAACTCTGAATTATTCTGCAAAACACCAGCACACGATGAGCACTGTAGTTGCAGGATTTAAAGTGCTGGAATTTGCGAGGGCCAATGACTTGTAAACTTAAATGCTACTAGGTGAATAGCAGAACTGTAGCAGAGAATAAATTTTTCTTATATGGTTTAGTTTCTTGAGAAATCCCCCTTTTCTACCCTTATGATGGTATTTGGATTAAAGATACATAAACATGCTTTGCTGTTTCTTTCCTAATTACTCAGAACAAAACATAAGCAATTGCATTATTGCTGCTCGGATAATATTCTACTTGCCCATTCTTTAACTAGGGACTGTATTTTATTCATCTTTTAATAATCAAGGGACTAGAGCAATAGTATAGCAGGGAGGGGAGTTGCTTTGCATTGGGCCGACCCAGGTTCAATCCCCAGCATCCCATATGGTTCTCTGAGAAGTGCCAGGAGTAATTCTTGTGTACAGAGCCAGGAGTAACCCCTGAGCATCACCAGGTGTGACCAAAAAAAGGGGGGAGGGGGAGTCTTTTAATCAAGGCCAAATTTCTCTAGGATTAGAGAGTTCATAATAAAAATGTAAAGATTTGGGGCTGGGGGTCAGTGCTGAAGTTCTGCCCCAGTCCTGAAAGGTTCCCCAAGCACCATCATGACAGCCTTGTGACCCCCAGCACTCAGAGCTCAAAGAGCATAGTATCCCACTTACACACCCCCAACACCCCACACCCCCTGCTGGCAATATATATATATATATATACACATATATATATATATATATATATATATAAAATTAAGATCACAGTCAACTCCTGCCATCTGAAAGGTCTTCATGGGTGGGTGAGCCAGCTCAGAGGGCTGAGCCCACTCCTTGCAGGCAGAGCCTCGGGTTCGATCCCTAGCACCAGACGGTTCCCTGAGAACTGCCAGAAGTAATCCCTAAGCACCAAGCCAGAAGCAGACCGTTAGCACTACTAGGTGTGGCAACCAGGACCACAACCCTGAACTGGAATGCACACGGAATCTACTGCAACAAGGCTCTCAAGGCAGAGCGGGGTTTGGCTTTCCATCTGCAGGCTGTCACCGCAGGGTAAGCAAGTGACTATGAACCTTTAATAATTTGACCTTAGAGGGGCTGGAATGATAGCATATTGGGGAGGGTGGTTTGTCTTGCATGCAGTTGATCTGAGTTCGATCCCCAACACCCCAGATGGTCCTTGGTGCCCTACCAGGAGTGATTCCTGAGTGCAGAGCAAGAGTAATCCCTGAGAACCTCCGGGGGGTGGCCTCAAACAAAAGAACAGACAAAAAGATTGACCTAAGAACCAGTTAACTTATCTACCCTTGCTAGGCCAGACATGATGCATATACCCTAGAGATGACCTATTATGTTCTCCCCAACAGGAAAAATAAGCCAGAATGTCATCTCGCTCTTTGAACCAGTCATGAAAATAAGAAGCTATTTAGAATAATTTTTTAATCCCCAGTCATTTTAATATCTAAAAAGCATAAATGTCTACTAAATTCTATATCACCTTAAGGGAAAGGCCTGTGTTTTTCTCTCATCTCTGAATTGCACAAACCTAGAACATAATAAGTGATGAATAAAAAATTGGGAACTGAATCACTACAATTAAGAATTATTTTTTTCAAAGATAGGCTTAAGATTAGTTTCAAAAATAACTGTACCATATGAACAATTATGAATACAGAGAATATTACCACTCTGACACATACTTTGTTTTTTTCCTAATTTCTTCCACCAACTGTTTGATATGATCCTCCATAAATTCTATCTTCTCATTTTTCCGGGCATGCGCTTTTTGTAGTTTTATGATCCTCTCAATCAGCATGGCCTTGTCTACTTCTGGAAAGCTATCCACAGCTACTGAGGACCCAGTGTTTTCTGGAGATCGGTCTTCTGCACTGCTCCGAGCATTAAGGGACCCTGAAACGAAATAGGTTTATGGATTATACTTAGTCTAGAGTCATCTCTAATCTTAAATAATATCTATTCTAGTACTATGTTCAAATGTTCACTCTAATAGGGCCAGGCATAGAATACATGAGTCCTAGCTGGTCTGAGGTCTCCCAGGGGTAAACAGGGGTTAGGAGTACTGGTCAATGGTTGGAATGAATCACAAGTGTGTGTGGAGCAGACAGTAGATAAGATTGAGAAGAGACCAGTATGACAATAATAGCTGGGAATGATCACACTGGAGAATTGAGTGTTAAAAATAACAAACAAACAAACACTGTCTTCCCATTGTTCATCAATTTGCTGAGCGGGCCCAGTAACGTCTCCATTGTGAGACTTGTTGTTACTGTGTTTGGCATATTGAATACATCAAGGGTAGCTTGCCAGGCTTTGCCACGCAGGCGAGAAACTCTCGGTAGCTTGTCGGGCTCTCCGAGAGGGGCGGAGAAATCGAACCCGGATTGGCCAGGCTGGCTGCACGCAAGGCAAACTCCTTACCACCGTGCTATTGCTCCATACCACCCTGAACACGTCCAATCTCGTTAAAAATAAGTAAAGAGATATTCTTTCAGCATCAATATCAAACCACAATACCCCAAAGGAGACAGACAGAGAGACAGAGACAGAGAGAGAAAAAAAGTGTCTGCCAGAGGCAGGCTTGGGGGAGAGGTGGGACGGGAAGAGGGATGGAGGGAGGGACACTGGTGCTGGGAAACGTACACTTGTAGAGGGATGGGTGTTAAGTGAAATACAAAAACAAAACAAAATTAATAAATAAAAGTAAAAGAAGGGCTGGAGAGCTAGTACAGCAGATAGGGCCCTAGCCTTGAATGCGGCCAACCAGGGTTCATATGGTTTCCTGAGCACCACCAAGAATAATTCCTAAGTGCAGAGCTAGTAGCAACCTCTAAGAATTGTCGTATATGGCCAAAACTCTGCCCAGGGCCAGAATGATAGCACAGCGGGTAGGGTGTTTGTCTTGCACGCGGCCAACCCGGGTTCGATTCCCAGCATCCCATATGGTCCCCGAAGCACTGCTCAAGGAGTAATTCCTGAGTGCAGAGCCAGGAGTAAACCCTGAGCATTACTGGGTGCGAACCCCCCCCCCCAAAAAAAACAAATAAACAAAACTCTGCCCAAATATATACATGAATAAATAAATAAATAAAAGAAACTATATTATCCCAAATCTATGTGAATGGATACAAATATGAATTTTAAGATGGGTAGGAAAACTGTTTCACAGAATAAAGAAATAGGTCAGAAGAAAGGAGGTTGAGAGAAAGACGTTACACTTAAAATACTAGATAATGATTAGACTTAGAACACTGAAGTGAAGATACTTTTTATAAAATTATACAAAATATCCCTTTTAAAATTCAAAGTGAAAGAAAAACATGCCAACATTTCTCAAAACAGAGTTTTGTCTCCTTATACCCTATCAATAAACAATGAATATTTTACCTGAGGAACTAGAACGACTCCCCATGCTGCTGACTTCTTTATCATAGTTTCCATTCTCAAGCTGGTCTAACTTTCTCCGTGCTAGTACAAAAAAAAAAAAAAGAAAAAGAAAAAGAAAAAAGAATTAGTCAATACTGCATACGGCTCAGTTAGCCCCACTATCTCTGATTTTAACTGCAACAATAACTTAGGTCACACGGGCATAACAAAGAGGAAACTTATTGACCACAAACTGCTGGCAAGAGAGCTGTAGGTATATTCCTAATAAAAAGTATCTAGAGACTGGGGGTCAAACAGAAACCTACGGATGCCACTAGCATCACACAGCTAGACTGAACAGAACTCAAGGAGTCCGGAAAGTCTTAGAAGATCTCTATAGCATAAAAAATGCCCCTTCATCTACATCTATGAAACTAAATTGATTATGGAAAATATCTGAATGCGCTAACATGAAATAAATGGTCTCTTACTACATTTAACCACTTCTGGGACTCCGCAGCAGTACTCAGAGGCCAAAGGCTCACTCTGGGAAATTACCAGCCAAGTGGACCATGAGTTTACGGCGAGGGCTCCAAGGATGTGAGACTGCTTGGGCCCTGCAGTGCCAGGGATAACTGGGGTCATTCTGACAGTGCTCAGGAATTCTACCCCATTTTAACAGAAATAAAGCAGTAGGGAAATAATAGAGACGAGAAAGTCAGAAAACACATTTACAGGATACTAGAAGGGTATACTACTATATAATCATGAACATACTCGTAGAGTTCTAAATGATAGGTGACATAGGAAATGAAGCATACATACAAATACACATAGTTCATACAATTGTATCAGATTCTATGGCCTACATAGAATACTAGAAAGTCAGAATTCATTTTAGCATCCAAGGATACGGCACAGATAATGGCTGTATGAAACAAAGGAAACGTTTCATGTTTAAAGGAAATGAATCCAGGTTTCATTTCCAGCTGTGAATGATCACGTCTGGGTACTCAGGTGACCAAGGCAGGGCCCCAAACAATGTAGACACATGTCAAGAGAGAACACCAGATCTTCTGTTTTCTCCCACGATTTTTTAGAAGGGTGGCCGTACTCCTGGCACTGCTGGGGCTGAGGCTCCCTGCGTGAACTCAGGGATCAAACCCAGGGCGCCCCGACATGTCAAACATGTTCTCTAGTTCTCTGAGCTTCAACCTTAGAATTTACATTTTTTATGTCTGAGGTGTTTTATTTTACTTATTTGATTGTGACAGAATACAAAACCCCCACACAGAGGCAAGGCAATGTTCTGCCACTGAGCCACACAACAAACAACAACTCTTAGTATTTGGCAGAGGGTATGGGGGTACATAGGGGGCACACACGTGCTGCTCCTGGCTCGTGCTCAGAGCTCACTCCTCACAGTGCTCAGGGCTCCAAGAATTTCTGATTGAAATTTATGATAAACTTACGATAAAACCTTTACAGTTTTCTATTCTTTATTTATTTTAATTTTTTAAAAATTGAATTACCATGAGATAGGTCATTATAAAGCTGTTCATAATTGGATTTCAGTCATACAATGTTCCAAAACTAACCCTCCACCAGTGTCAATTTCCCCTCACCAATGTCCCCAGTTTTTCTCCCACCATCTCCCAGCACCCCACCCCATCCCAGTCTGCCTCTATGGAAGGCACTTTTCCTCCTTTTCTCTCTCTCCGTTTGTGCATATTGGTTTGCAATACAGGTAATAAGATGTCATTGTGTTTGTTCAGAGAGTTTAGTATTTTTTTCAGGAAGGTACAGCTGGAATAGCTTTTTTAACTGGGTGTGGACGTGACTGCCAAGGCTTTCAGAAATACAGGGAGGTGAAGGGAGGTAGCCCATCCTAACTATAGGAGAAGCCTGAAGATTTCAGTCACAAAACCTGCATACGCAAATTTTCAGTAGATTAGTATCTCAGTAAGGTCCAACCCAAGACAGCGGAGTCCGACTGGGGGTATAGCAGCAATTTTGGGTAGTGGGCAGCCACTGGGCTAACCCGTATCCCGCCAATGTGCCCTAGATTATTCAGGCATACATGGGTCCCAGAAGATTTACAGTGTCTTTTTGATCTCTTTTGATCTCATTTATGGGTCTCGGGAGCAAGGCAGATAAATGAGTTTTTTGGGTGGCGTCGGAGGTGGTTTGTGGGTGACTCACACCTATCTAAATTTTTGTGGTTTAATTTCTTAGAAAACTTGGTCCCAAGTTAGAGTCTGCCTGGAGGCATGTAGCAGGAACTGTGGTGTGTCTGGAGGCCCGAGGGCACCATCAGGCTGCTGATGCTCTCGCCCAGCAGGTTCAGGTTGGCCGCTGCTGGCGCCGCAATCTCTGGGCCCCAGAGACCAGGACTGGGGCCAGGGCTGCTACTGTGCCTGGCTTAGGCACTCTGGGTGACCGCAGCAACCAGTCCAGCAGAAACTGACCAGGTGGCAAGACACCCTGCCCTGAGGTTGGGTCTCCAGCCAGAAGGCACTCAGGGAGATTTTCCTTCATAATACACTGATAGAGGCACCATCCGATGTGAGGGTTGATCCGGGAGTGTTTTCCGGGAGGAAAAGTGGTTGCCAGGATGCCCTGCAGGTGGCGAGTCGCCTTGGCTACTGGAGCCGGACCCTCCCCGTGGTAGGAACCCGGGACACCTCCTCAACTCCAGGACCCACACTGCGCGGTGGTGCCTGTTTGGATCCAGAGAGCACTGTTCATTCACACAAAAATGCTGCCACCACAGCGGACCACAGTCCACAGAGCCAAGAGCTGCGGTAGCACTGCCAGCTTTGGAGCTCACATCTGCGGCCACCGCCTCCGTCTGCAGAGATCCTGCTCCGGGCCATGCCCCGCGGTGGGTACCAGGGTGGTCTCAGTAAAGGCACTCAGGCACTCTCTTTGAGCTGCACTTGGAGCACCATGCAGCTCCAGGTGCCAGGCTGGACTTAAAAAGTGCCTCTCTCTTAAGAAAGGACGCTTACATTCATTCCCGTCAAATTATGCAGTTTCTGGGCCGCCCTGGCCCCACCAGTACCAGCATCAACGTCCGCTGCCACCCTCTGACTCTCCAGATTTTCGGTCCTTAAGGGCTGGAGCGATAGGACAGTGGGGAGAGCACTGGTCTTGCACACAGCTAATCTGAGTCTGATCCCTGGCATTCCCTATCATCCCCCGAGCACCGCCAGGAATAATCCTTGAGTGCAGAGCCAGGAGTAACCCCTGAGCACTGCTGAGTGTGGCCCCGAAGCAACAACAACAAAAAGTATCCATTCTTAGCACCAGAGAGATGGAACAGTGGGTAGGAGGCGCTTGCCTTGTCCACAGCCAACCTAGGGTTGAATCCCCAGCACTCACGAGCATTCCCTGAGCCATTGCTAGGAGTGGGTCCTGGGAACAAAGCCAGAAGTAAGCCCTGAATCCCACTAGGTGTGGCCCAAAAACCTAATGAATGAATAAGTAAATGTTTTCCTCTGCTTCCTGTATTTTCAAATGATTAGAAAAGAACACGTTTACATTTCACAAATATATAAAATTATAAATTATGTTGGAGAACACAGTGCTAAAATACTTGTCACTAGTAAGACCAAATGGCCAAAAGAATTTCAAGGAGCTGGGGAAACGGTTCAAAGGGCTGGACACGGGGCTGGAGAGATAGCACAGCGGGTAGGGCGTTTGCCTTGCATGCGGCCAACCCAGGTTCGATTCCCAGCATCCCATATGGTCCCCTGAGCACCGCCAGAACTAACTCCTGAGTGCAGAGCCAGGAGTAAGCCCTGTGCATCGCTGGGTGTGACCCAAAAAGAAAAAAAAAACCCCAAAAACAAAGGGCTGGACACACACCTGGCATGCACAAGGCCCTGAGTTCTGTCTCCAGGACGGTCAGTTTCTGTGCATCAGCAAGTGTAGCCCTGGATAAGCCTGGAACCATGCGGCTCAGAGCCCAGCCAAGCAGTGAATGGAGTGGCCCCCGGGTCTCTAAGCAACGCCTAGGAGATACTCCCACCCCCAATTTCAACATTATCAACTTAAGGTACTTTCTAAGTTCTTCCATTTTTGTGATTCTGTTAATAAAAGTTTTTTAGTATCATAGATGCCAGGACTACTCAGGAAACTATTAAAGTATTAAAGAAATTTAGCAATTTGGTTTATGAATATTTTAAGGCATTAATATTTTATGAACAATGTGGTAGAATCCCTGTGTAAAACTTATACTCTGTACACAATGATTCTAAGAATAAAAAACATCAAGATCCAAGTGTGAGAGAATGGTATACCTTGCTGAAGTTGTTTGGCAAGATCCTTGATGCCAGAGGCATGCTTCCGTCTTTGAGTCACTAGCTCATCTTTTAATTCTTCTACCTGGGTACTCAGTGCTTTCACTTCCGTTTGTCTACAAGTGAGTTCAGCCTGCAGAGCCTGGATTTCCTCTTTTCTCAGTTCTTCCTCTTTTAATAGTCTATTTTCCTATATATGAAGAAGATTTTGAAAATACAGATTTTAATACCTGGGATTATCTTCATGAGCGCCTACATTTTAAAACTTTAAAAAGTAGAAAGCTCTTAAAAGTAGATTTTTGTCATCAATCCTTAGCAGGTTTTGCTTCCTGAGCACCTCAAATGTCACATGTAGTAATGTAGGAGACACATTCCCAAAATAACATGTCTCTACATCTGAACAAAATTCATATTATGAGTAATTTAAGGATACTCTCCTAACCTGAAAATATTAAACTATTTTTATCTATAAAATATAGGAACTGCAAGTACTTAAAAATACATACTGAGGGGATGGAATAGTAGGTAGGGCATTTGCCTTGCAAGTGGCCAACCTGGGTTTGATCTCTGGCACCCCATAAGGTCCCCGGAGCCCTGCCAGGAGTAATTCCTGAGTGCAGAGCCAGGAGCAACCCTTGAGCAACACTGGTGTGGCCCAAACACCAAAAGCAAACAAACCATAAAAACCAAACCAAAACAAAAAGCCCACACCATATTGATTCCAGTTACAAATGACATAAAACTTAATTTCCATATTTTCAAAAGTAAACTGTTTCTTTATAGAGATTTTTGTTATAAGCTATTTAAGGTGGAGAAAAAAACCATCATGTTTTACATGTGGAATTACTAGAATATCAGTCAATAATAAAGGGTTTATATCAGATGAGAAAGACGGTTCTGCGGGTAGAGCACATGCCCTGAGGGCAAGAGTAAGGTACCGCATGGTCCTCTGAGTGCCACCAGGAGTGACCCAAACAGCCCACACAGAAAAAAAGAGCTTAAATCCACACCATCTGGCTTAGCCTACTTGAGAAATTCTATCTATTATGTTCTTCTTGCTATGTTGCTTTAAAAGTCAAATGTATACTCATACTTACCAAATTCAGATTTGTCTCTTTCATTTGTTCACACTGGCTTTGTAACTGACTTTCACTACAGGAAAGTTTATCAAATTGTGACTGCAAAGAATTGGATTCAGACTGCAGTTGTGCATTCTTACTAGTGAGCTTTTCTGTAAAGAGTAGTAGCTCAGATTCTCTTTTCCTACTGCCTTCGATGTCTTTTTGTAGGTCATTAATCAAAGAATTAAGACTTTCCACTTCTTCCTTCAAATTTTCAATTTCTTGTTTACCTCTAAAAAACAAAGTTTATATTTTAAAAAAATAAACTATTAAAAAACATGAAGTCAATGGTCGGGGAATCTTCACCTGATGAAATGCTTTGTAAAGGTGCTTTTTATTCATTAACTTAAATATTCATGAAAACCTCATATGCTGAATCTAAGAGCTGGGAACATTTAATGAAGACCAACACAGTCTCTACTTCCAAAGACCTCTCAGCCAAGTAGGGAAATTCTGGAATGTGATCAAACCTTGTGCTGCTGGACATACACATGGCATCAATAACTTAGTGAAACTGACATTTAAAGTAATACTTATGGAGGATAGTGAACTTTTCCCATAAAAAAAAAAGACCCCAAGGGTCATCAAGTCAGACTTCTGAGAAAACTATGTGGCCTTTGTGCAACTATCCAGCTCTGTGGTGTGAAAGCAGCACGTGCCGATTTTAAAGGAACAAGAAACAGAATTTACGTAGCTCACTTATAAAAGAGACAGTGAATAGATTTGGCTGTGGCTCCCAGTTTGTTTAATCCTGACCTAAAGGAAAAACAGGAGTTAGTGGAACAACAAAGTATGGTCCAGGTAGAAAAGTATGGTCCAGGTCAGCGGTAAAGGTGGAAAGAAAACAAGAGAAGGATTTTTGGTTGGTTCTAATAGATGATCAATGTTGATGAAGACGAGGACTGCATTCTATTCTTAAGACATCATCAAATAAATTCTTGTTAACCAACTATGGCTACAACACAAGAAAGGAAAATGGGGATTACAGGAGAAACGAGGAGGGAGTTCACTGATACTGTTCCAAACCACAAGAAGACATCCTAACTCACTAGGTCATTCCTATGGCAATGGGAAAGCACTGCAAGCTTTTGAGAAGCTTTCCTTTTTAAATATAAGCCACAGTGAAAGAGTCAGCAGAAAAAACAGTCCAGAAGCTGCAGCAGTTTCACAGAAGAAAGCAAGTAATGGTTTGGATGATGTCAGCGGCCGTGGAGAAATAAAAAGCAAATGAACTTGAATGAGGCCCGATTCAGCATCCACAGTGTTGCTGGCAGATGTGTGAGGGGACGAGGAGGCAATGGGTGTCGGGTTCCTGGGCTGAAGCAGCACAGAGCCACTCCATCTATCGGTCATCCCAGGAGTGTGAGAGGAGAAGCACATCTGTGGGCAGAACAAATGAGTCCACTTCCGACATGTTAAGGTTTGATGTAGCTTTGATACTTTCATGATTGGAACTCAGCACAAAGGGCTGAAAATGATGATTTAGAGATTTTTTTCAGTCAAACTTCAGGGATAGATGAATCAACAGCAAAAGAGACTTGTGACAGAAAGCAACAGCTGTAAAGGGCACACAAAAAGGAGAGACCAGAAAGTGGAGATGAATGGGGACAAATACCAGGACACTGTTTTTATAAAATGAAGACAAATTAGTAAAACATGTGAAAAAAAAAAAAGATCATGGTCTTCGTGGTGTGAGAAAACACTGAAAATTCAAGCAAGGCTGAGTTTTGATAGGTGTCAACTAAAAGAGGCATTAGCAATTTCTAATGGAATGTTGGAGAAGCAGCTGGAATTAGGCAGAGAAGAACAAAGAAAGTGAAGAAATGGTGATAATACAGATGATTCTATTAATAAGCTTGGGGGTGGAGGAAAAAAGAAAAGGAACAGTAGGAAAAGGAACAAGAATTTTGACATTTTTAAGACATGGTCTAAATATAGAAAGAAAAAACTGAGAGAGGTAAAGGATAAAGAAAAAACTATCAAGAAAGAGATGCAAAGGCAGACGAGCACGGGGTCACAGCAGCAGAGGGAACAAATTCAAAGAACAGGAGTATTTCCTTCAGAGCCACAGGAGGAAAAGAAGATTGGCTGCAGATGCAGGCAAGTTCCCAGAACTGACAGCATGATGGTGATACAATTGCTAGCCGATGTATCCCATTTTTTTCTGTGAAGAAAGAGGTGATCACTTGCCAAGAAACTAGAGTGATGGAAGGTAAGGTGGAAGGTAAGAAAGTAAGATGGAAGACTGGAAAAGTGCAGGAAGGGTGAGGTTTGGAATGGATGTTAAGATAACATCTAAGGACGTTCAGTAAGAGAAAAGGTGCACTAATATTGCCAGTTGAGGATACTGGCCATAAATTGAGAGCATCATCAATCTGTACGACAGTGAGCAACGCTAGTCCTAGGTACCAATAAGGCATGAAAAAGAAAATAGCTGAGTTCAACCCAAATTGAGATTCAGGCATTGTTATGATCAGAGCTTCATTAAGTGATCTGGTATGAAGCTAAAGAATAATGTCGGCTCCTGACTGAAAGCTATATACATGCAAGGATACTGAGCAATACAGCAGCCTTTTAGAAGAAAAAGTGAGCATTAAGGCATACGCGTGACAAAATTTAGACACCAAGGAATAACAAAACTGAAATTCATTCTGTCTATATTATAAACTGCTTTTGCCAATGTTTAGGGAATATAAACTTTGATTTTTAGAAGCCACAATGGGAACTTCAAAAGTATTCCAAAAACGTTCAAATGAAGACAGGAATTTGAAAGTTTTTAGCTACCCAAATTATTCTCATCTAATGCAAACATTATATATAAAAATGGAATTCAGTGGTAGAATTAAAAAGCCTGCTAACTTAGTACAACAAAAATTGCTCATTTTATTACCTTTGATGCTGCTCCTGGATCTGATCTGCAATTTTCACTTTGTCCAATAAATTCTGTATTTCAGCTTTTTGGCGGTTAATAATTTCCTTGTACTTTGATAATTCATCTTCTGTTCTTAATCGTTCATCTTCAAGACATTTTACCTATCAAATAATCATCATCAAAGTTAAATGACAATATTTTCTTATTCCATATTAACTATTTCAGAAAGTGGCCATATGCCAATAATATAAGCTGAATTATGAATATGCATTAATGTGAAAGAAATATAATCGAACTGAATAGTCCACAGTTTCAGTCTCAGATAATCATGATTTTGCTCATGATTTGGTAAGGTTCAGAATGTCTTATCTTGGGGCTGGAGCAATGGTACAGCAGGTAGGGTGGCTGCCTTGCTGCTCCTGACCCAGGTTTGATCCCCGGCATCCCACACAGTCTCCCAAGTATCACCAGGAATAATTCTTGAGCACAGAGCCAGGAGTAACCCCTGAGTACAGCTAGGTGTGACCCAAAACCAAAAAAATAAACAAACAAAAAAGCCTCATTATCTTTGCTGAGTCTCTACTTCCACTCCTGAGAAGACAGAATATACCTTGCCACTATTACAACCTTTATAGAGAACAAACAGAAGGGCACATGTGAAAATTATTTAAGTGATCACAAGTTCAAGGTGACTACTTAGAAGCTTGTTTCTAAACAAATGGCATATAAAATGTTTGACATTCATATGAAAAGGAATACTTAAAAGGGATTCTTATAATTAAGACATATATAAATATAAATACATACGTATATATACGCATGCATATGTGTTAAGCTTTGGGGTCACACCTTATGAATTTCAGGCATTACTCCTTGTTCTGCACTCAGGGATCACTCCTGGTGGTGCTCAGGAGACTATATGGAATGCCTGGGATCAAATCCAGGTCAGGCACGTACAAGGCAAGTGCCCTACCCTCTGTATTATCATTCCATCTTAAAATTTTATCTTAAAATAGATATTATTATAAGCGCCTGACTATCCTCGCCGCCGGGGCCCCTTGGAGGGGAGTGGGTTGAGCTTTCTTCCCCGCCCCGACCAGGGCTCCGGCAGCCAAAGACCTCCAGGACCAGCCACCACCATGCTGAGACCACTCTCCGCACACATGAAGGTACTGGCAGAGGGACAAAGTCACGCGGGTTCCGGGGCCAAGATCTCCAAGCCTACTCGGATTTGGGCCAAGCATCCTCCACCCAGATCCTCCAAATTCCAGTAGGCGGGGGTCACACCCACCAACTGGCCCCCTGGCGCCGTGTAATCCCATCAACGGCCAAGACTCAGAGACTATAAAAACCAGCTCCCGGACATCCTATTATGACATCTTATTATCTCATTCCTACTTTGGACAAACTGGCAGGCTACCGAATGTAGCCTGCCCACACGGCAGAGTCTGGCAAACTCCCCGTGGCGTACCCAATATGCCAAATACCAGTAACAATGATGGGTCTCATTCTCCTAAAGAGCCTTGAATATAATCTCAGGGCTAGGATGAAGGAGACGTTACTGGAGCCTACTCGAGGCAATCGACGATTAACAGGATGATTTGTGATTTGTGATAATATATATAAGGGCTGGAGCGATAGCACAGAGCGATAGCACAGGGCGTTTGCCTTGTGCGCAGCCTGCCTGGCCGAGCCAGGTTCGATTCCTCTGCCCCTCTCAGAGAGCCCAGCAAGCTACAGAGAGTATCTCGCCCGCACAGCAAATACTGGCAAGCTCCCCATGATGTATTTGATATGCCAAACACGGTAACGAAAGAGTCTCAAAAAATGGAGACGTTACTGGGCCTGCTCGAACAAATCAATGAACAACGAGAGGACAGTGCATGCCTGACAATAGACTATAAATACTGGAAAGGCTGTGTAGAAGACTATTAAATATATTCAGGAGAAACAAAGACTTTCTATTGTTTCCTAACATTGTAACTTCCTTCTAGTCAATTTTCTGATAAGCCTGCTGTTAGGTCAGAGCCCAAGGGTAAGTTACAGATACTCCAAACACATTGACACAAGAATATTTGGCAAACATTTCAAAGGCAGGGCCAGAGAGATAGTACATCAGGTAGAGCATTGCCTAGCACTCATGAGCTCAATCCCCAGCATCCCATATGATCCCCCAAGCATCGCCAGGAGCAATCCCTGAGGGCAGAGCCAGGAGTAACCCCTGAGCCTCACCAGGTGTGGCCCAAAATAACAAACAAAAAACCGAATATGTATCTTTGAAAGAGACACCATAGATATTTTTGTTGCTTCTATAGAGAATTAATACTCTATTCCTCAGTGGTTATTTTATATTTGTTTTGGTTAATTTTGCAAAATTTATCTATAACTATCTTTGCTCCAACAATTAAACCTCAGAATGAATTTAAAATATTCACCCTTCCTGTTAAGTCTGAACTGCAGATTTAATTACCTTCGTTCTTAGTGTTCGTAGTTCATCCATGCCCTCCTTAAATGTCCTCTTCAGATCTTCTAGTTCCTTTATTTTGGCGTGATGCATCTTGTAAAGATTGGGAAAAAGAACCAACAGACAATTATATACTAAACTAGATCTTGGGGCTAAAGAAATAGTACAGCGAGTAGGGTATGTGCCTTGCTTGAGGCCTTGCACTCCATAAGGTTTGCCAAGTCCTGGCCAAAAGATCTTAAAAGTAGATGACAGTGGGCGGGGAGACAGCTCAAAGACAGAAACAGATGCTTTACACACTGAGGTCCTGGGCTCCAACCCCAATACCACATGGCAACCCCAAAGGCAACTCTAGGAGTGATCCCCTAGCACCTGGCTCAGAGTAGCCCACAGTACCCATAGGAATGGCCACCAAACAAACAAACAAAACCTGTGTTTTTGTTCCCTCCTCTTGTCTTTACTGCAAAATCTAGGGCACACACAGAACAGAACTATTACCTCAAGTTGATCTGATTTTTCTTGCATTTGTTTCTCAAGTTCTCCTTTTGTGACTCGAAGCTTGGCATCCAGCTCATTTGATTTAATTTCTTCTGATTCCTAAAGAAAAGAAGAAGAAAAAAGTATGACCTAATTTCTCAAGTTTTATACTCTGAAAACTTAGGAAGGCTTTGCAATTAAGTTTACTCACTGCAAAATACAAAGATGCAACTAAGTGATTCATGCACCAAAAGACAACATTAAATACATTACTTTTGTACAAATAAGAATAATGTATGTAAGAAATAGCTATAACTTCGCTTGTACTCTTCATTATTCTGACATATTCAAGAATATTGAATAAAGGTAAAGGTAAAGGCCCTCCCGTTGTTCATCGATTTGCTCGAGCGGGCCCAGTAACGTCTCCATTGGAGACTTTGTTGTTACTGTGTCTGGCATATCGAATATGTCACGGGGAGCTTGCCAGGCTCTGCCGTGCGGGCGAGATACTCTCAGTAGCCTGCCGGGCTCTCCGATAGGGACGGAGGAATCGAACTCGGGTCAGCCATGTTGGCCGCGTGCAAGGCAAACGCCCTACCGCTGTTGAATATTGACATAATATTGAATATGTCATTATTTTGACAGACACTATTATTATTCAAAACTTTGCTAATAAGATCTGTTTAATCTGCGAGTGTGTTTGCAAAGAACATAACCTGTACCCCACCAAACTCAGCCTATACTCAAATTCTATAAAAAATTTACTGATATTTCACATAATTTATTATTAATCTACCAGGAAAGTTACACATACCTGATATGTTTTTATCATATCCTGACAGTTCTTTCGTATCTGATCTGCTTCTTCCTTTGCTTGAGTTAACTTTGTTGTTGTTTCTTTAAGTTTATCTTTGGTTTCCTGTGTTGACAAAAAGATAGCAACAAAGCTGGTCACAGCTCTGTGATGAAAGGTAAGAACAAAGATCAGAGAGCAGGGATAGTTCTTGTCTCAGCTTCACCATTGAGGGTTTTGGATACTAAAGTAGGTTTGAGTTAACTGAGAGCCATTAAATAAAATCTGACTTGAAAGGGTTTTCAGCAAATCACTAGAAATTGCTGACCTGCTAAGACAATAAGAGCAAAGTGTGACGCACTATTCACACAGGGTTAGAGACAATTCTTGGCTTTATGGTCACGGCAGCCATTCAAAACCGCCTTTGTACAGATTCACCCAGCAATCTGGTTTTTGTTCCCAACCACTCTCCTATAAAATTATAATTCTAAATGGCTGCTGGGACTACTCTCTCATCAAATCTAATTACTTTTTCTGGTTTCTGACTTGTAACTTAATCTGTTCCTCTTTTAATCACTTTAAATATTCTTCCTTTGTTTCCAGTTTGATTAAAATAGATTCTTCTTTCTGTTTCATTTTGTTGCCACAGTGTCTCCTTGACTTACTTCCTACTTCATATTCTAACACTCAGCCCGGAGGCTCTTTCTCAAAATTCTCCATCAGATGCCAGTTCGGTCCCATGGATTTTGGATACCGTGTGGATTTCAAACCAAATTTAGTTATCATCTCCTCCTAGTCACTTCCTTTCTCAAAGAGGGAGAGAAACTTCTATTCACAGAGTGAATCCAGGGTATTCCTAAATGGTAACCGTTGATCTTTCAGAAAGGGCAGCCACTGAGAAATGAATAGAGCAGCAAAGATTTGAAAGATCTGAAAGAATGATCAGGTGGAGGCCCGAGTGACAGGACAGCAAGTGAGGCGCTTGCCCTGCACGCAGCCTGCCATCCCAGGCTCCATCCCTGGCACCCCAGGTAGTCACCCAAGCCCACCAGGAGTGATCCCCAAGTGCAGAGTCAGGAGCAAGCCCTGAGCACTCCTGGAGGTGGCCCCAAAACAAAACAAAGATTAAAAAGGAAGATCAAGTAAAGGACCAGGTGTAATGTCTGAGAGCAGAAGAGAATCAAGCAAGAGACAGTCTCTGCGGGCCAACACAAAGGATAATTGCTTTTATTGAAATGGGGACACAATGGAGGCAACACTATCTGGACGGCTTTAGCTGTCACACTCAATATGCATATGTCATCTAAGCCACTCAATGTCAAGGGGTCAGCTGAATATCTGAATCTGAAGTTCTATAGCCCTCACTAGCATTCAGTAACTAGCCTACAGCTCCTACTGTTACGTTTTTGTGTTGGTTTATGTTGTTGTTGTTTTTTAAGTTCACAAATCTTGTCTTCTACAGAGCCTAATCTATAAAATAAATGTATTATTCAGAAATACAATTCCAACTGTATCTGATATTCCAGGCACACCTGGCAAAGAACTCATCCTGAGACCGCGGGGACGTAAACAGGCAGCAACCACGCAGGTGAGCTAACATTCGGTCCACCGCGGGAGGGGCAGTCTTTACATATCGCACCCAATAGAGTTTTGTTCTAAAAAGGAGGTATGAAAGACATATTTCCACGTGTTCTCCAGGAGGGTGCAGAGGAGAAAAACACAGAAAGGATGAACCAAGCGATGACTGAGTCTCCCTCATCTAAGGCCTGCATTCTTGGTAACCTTCTCTGGAGGGTGTGATTAGAATTCAGTAACCACTAGAGTCCAATGGGTTTCCAGTACTTAGTGGGCAGGGACTGAAAATAGCAAAAGATGACTGAAGACTCACTAAGAGGCCCCTGACTCTGATCCTCATCTCCAGAAGTGGCTTCCAGCGCACCCAAGGTAACAATTCATTCCAATATTCTGAGTGAGTTTCCTCTCCTCGCCAGCAGGTAAATGGGGACCATCCCAACCCAGTCACGCTGAAAGCAATGTCCGTGTCCCACTGCTTTCCTAGCCTCCTATGACCTAACAGGTGTTGTGCAAAGAGAAGGCCTAGCAAAACACTAGTTGGTAAAAACACCAGTTCTTCAGAAAGAACAGGTGGGCCAGGAAGAGAGCTGGGAGGGCTGGAAAGTTAAGCTTTGCTTGCAAGAGGCCTGCAACTGATCCCTGGCACCATAATGGTCTCCTGAGCACTGCCAGGAAGAACCCCTGAATAACACTAAGTGCGCTCCCAGAAAACAAAAAGCAACAACAAAGCAGAACTTGTAAAATTCTAATTTCTTACTCCGAGTTAATTTGCTTATTTTCATTTTCTACCAATCCATGCTATGATGTCAACCTTAAACCATTTCTCTGATCTACTTGCAGAGTATTTGGTTTCTTGTGTCCTATTACATAAAGTTGTGTATAACTAGACTTATTTCATAAATATCTGCTATCACCCATTTCCTGAACGCATACTGCCCAGAGAAGACTTGAGTAATTGTGTTTTCTCCTCACCACAGGAGTTCTGAGAGCTGCCGGAGCCCTGTCTTGTAGGGTGATATAGCAGGGTGAAGGAAAGTGCCAACAATAGAAGAAAGGACCAAGTTTAGATTCTGAAGTAACTAAGGGAATTCTAAAGCTGTTACTGTATCACAGCATTGGTGTTTTAATTCCTCATACTATAACCCGAAGTGAAGAGAAGTTCCAAGCTTTCAGAATTGGTTCCGTGCCTCTAGCTCTCTCATATGAGCCGGTCAGCAATCAGCTTAGAACTTCCAGGAAACCCAGTAATCTCTATCACATTCTTATTGTGCTCCCAGAAATCTCTCCCTACAATTGTCTATTATAATATACAAATACCCAAAGATCACCAACAGTTCTACCGTCTTAGAACTATTTAATGAGATGACCTATGGCTGTAATTTCAGAAGACATCATTAAGTGCATTTCTGAAACCTTGCAATTGATTTCACATAGCATCATCATTAAGTGCATTTGATGAGATGACCTCTGGCTGTGATTTCACATAGTGCATTTCTGAAAAATATTTCTGTGACTCTTCTGTTGAAGTTACATGTCACAGTTGTGTTTGCACTGCACGTGACAGCTTCTTCAGATTTATTCATATTAGCATTTAAAATTACACGTCAGGTAATGTCCTATTTATAATTACTTTATATAGTAAGCTGGTGTTAGATATTACGTCAGTGGAAGAAGAAAAATTCTTAGAATTTATTATTGTAATATTCTTAGCATCATTGATATTTTTGTATATTTCTGGCTTAGTTCTGATTTTTTATAACCTTACAGATGTCCCTTCCCCTGAAATTTCTGCTAATGCTTAAAATACAGCATACCCCAAAAATGCTTGAAAGAATAACATGTAGTGATAGACACTGTAAACAATAAATGACAAGATTTAACATTCTATCCAACTTAATGTAAAAATCATGCAAATAAATATATTTTTGCAATCACCAAGCTGTTCAAAGAAATCACTGAACTAGGCTTCATACATCAGTAATTGTTATTGCATTTGCTCTTAAAATAGACTCTAATAATCTTTCCAAGCTGCTTGACCATACTCACCTTGTGTAAATCCATTTCTGCCTTTAATTTGTTTTGTGCCCATTTTACTTTAATGATGTGAGAGCTGATGTCTTCCTTTAATTTATCTATCTCTCTCGTAAGTCTAGTAGTTTCACCTTCCTAGAATAACAACATTACTGGGTCATATTTTTCATTTTAATAACACATATTTATTTTAAAATAATTTTTTCACTATTTTTCATTCGTTTTTCATTAAAAATGATGGGTATTTTTATCACCTCAAAATAATCAGTGCAATAATACGTTAAGTTAGGGATTGTGACATGAAGTGCAACAAACCATAAAACCGATTTAAAGTTCAAACCAACCTCTTTTGCTGATCACAACACCCAAAAGGAGAGAGAAAACAAAAGGGAATGCCCAGCCACAGTGGCAGGGGGGGATGGGGGCAATGGGGGGGAGGGATATTATCCTTGGTGGTGGAAAATGGGCACTTGTGGAGGGATGGGTATTTAATCATGGTATGACCGAAATCCAAGCACAAAAATTTGTAAATCTACAACTGTACCTCATGGTGTTTCACTAATAAAAAATAAATTCAAAAAAAAAGTTCAAACCAAGAACTAGGGATGTAGTTCAGTGGCAGAGCATATGCCTTGCATATGTGAAGTTCTGGGTTCAATCCCTGGAACCACGCCAAAAAAAAAAAACCACAAAATTCTTTTTCTTTTTTCCCTTTGGCTATTTTGTTAAATAATTCTAAGATGGCAGAACTGCTGATTTTTTAAAATGTTTTTCTTGGTTTTTTGGTCACACCCAGTGGTGCTCAGGGCTTACTCCTGGCGGTGCTTAGGGGATACAGCTTGACAAGGATAGCAATCAGGTGAATGGCGTGTAGGGGAAGTCCCTTAGCTACTGTGCTGTCTCACTCCAGCCTCCCCCAGGAAAGATCTTAACTAACTTGGGCCAGGGAGACTGCATAGCAGGAAGGATAGTACAGCCTTAGTGAGCACCATCAAAATCAACCCCCGAGCACAACGCCAGGAGTAGCCCGCAGCACCGTGGTGTATGGCCTCAAAATAAGCAAAAAGAACCCATCCACAAACCATCATTGTTTTTCCAGAATTCCAGAAAAAATTCCAAAGCTAAAATGTAATAAATAAAAAACTAATGTTCACCGCTAAGCAATGATAATCCACTGCAAATATATCCAAGTCATGAGGTTGACAGTTAGAAGCAGGCTATGGGTACCCTAGTACTCTGTCTCCTTGAACAGCATGTGAGAATATTTATCTGTGAGAAAATTATAAATTCTATGGTGAATAACCATTATATTTATATTCTAGTCAAATTCTTTTGGCTTGAAAACTATTCACATTTGATACTGTATTTTGCCAAAGTGATTTCCTTAGAGGCATAAACACACACAGGGTTAAGAGAAAGTTTTTTAAAAAGGTCTACTTAACTTTCCTGATAAATGACATTGACCAACATCACATCTTTCTCCAGCAAATACTTTTTTTGCAGATAAGTAACAAGCTACTGGAATTATTCAATTATTTGTATTCTAAGAAAGCAAACTAATTATTATTTTTTAATTTAATATCCTAATTTTTTTTCAATTGAATCATAGTGAGATACAGTTACAAAGTTATTCATGATTGGGTTTCAGCCATACAATGTTCTATTACTCTCCCTTCACAAGGGTACATTTCCCACCACTAATGTCCCCAAATACCCTCCCACCATTCCCACCCACTGGCTGCCTCTATCACAGGCACTTCTCTCTGTCTCCTTTCTCTCTGCGAATTAATTTTTTAAAAATATGTTTGGTAGTGGCTTATAACCATTTAAATTCTAATTATCTGTTTAAAGAAGAGCAAACAGAATAAATTCAAACAAGATTTACTTAGCACAAGTTATACCTTTGCTTCATACAGTTGGTGCAACCGCCCTTTCTCCTGAGAAAGCTGCTTAATTTTGTTAGCGTTTTTCTCAACTTCCTTATTTGCATCTCTCAGTTTTCTCTCCAGCACCTCTTTTTCTTTTCGAAGGTCTAAGGATTCCTTCTCGCCTCTTACATACTTCATTACCATAGCTTCCTTTTCCTGGCGAGCGTCTTCACATTTCTTGTTGGCCTTGGAAAGAAAGTATCCTCTAGCATTAATGAAAAAATACTCTGTCAAATGAAAAGAAATTTCCTGTATTTTTTGGCTTTGCACAACAGACCCAGGAACTGTCATGAACTTGTAAAGAAAAACTTTAAATTAGAGAAATGAAATAAAGTCATTAATGTTATCAGTATTTGCTTTACCTTTCCTCCTCTTTTATTTTCACTGATATTGTTGCTATTTCCATTGACTGCTCTGGATCCACTTTCCTACTCTTCCCTATCCTTTCCTGGGCTCTGGAAAGAAGACTTGTAATGGATCATGGGGTCTCCAGGCTCTCAGACTTCAGGTCAGCGGGAGGCACTGGCAGATCATCAGTAGAGCAGGCAGCACTGCCATGCCCTGAATCTCCATGTATACACATTAGGCACCCTAGCCTGGGCCCTTCTGGGGTCACAGTACCAGCTCCTTCTTTGTTTGGCCCAAAGAATGACAGTGGATCCTCCATTAGTCACTAGTTCCAGTATTTTACCTTCTTCAGCTCCCTAACCCTTGCTCACACTTCTCTCGTGCCCTTTTATTAACCCACCATCAAGGCCAAATCATCCATTTTCTGCAAGGTCCCCAGCTACAATGGCGGATAATTTCTAAAATCTTTGTACCCTTGCAAAAGATACCCACATATTGTGATGCCCGGGTTTCCTACATATGAAAGTTCTTCTACAATATTATGCACCTAATAAGCACAAACTCTAGAATCACTGAAAATGCCCTATTAAGGGATTCATAGGCTGAAATTTCACATTCTGGAATTCCATCCATTGAAAGCTGGTAGTAAAGAGAGCTCTTCACTTCATAGCAAGTTAACAGCTTATAGAAGTGATGAACACAGCGGTTACTCAGATGATGTCATTCTGGTATAACCTTGGTGAAAGAGTGACTTTCAGGATCACAGTCTGTGCAAAGGTCCACATTTCTCCCCGTGCCTATATTGGTTCTCTTCTAGTGCTGTTTCCTCCCACATGCCAAAGGTGCACCTGTGGGATTCACTGCATGTCTCAACTGTCCCGGTGTGATCATGCATGTATGTGTGCATGAGCATTAGCTAGTGCACCCTGTGAGGAAAGGACCTTCTCTCCAGGGTCGAGACCTGACCTCACCCGGATTAGACAGCAGGGAGGCCTGAGCTAACGCATGACCTGCAGTAGAATAAGCGGGATGGAAAATGAAAGAACACTGACAGCTGCTTAATAGTTAAGACTAGCGTTTGGGGTCTTCACTTACAATTTGGGAGATGTGTCCATGACCAGGATTAAGTCTCATTTGTAGTAACTACCTATGACTCAACTGGTTCCATGACATGTTTCACTTTAAGTCACAGTTTCCTAGAGAGGATGTTAAGTAAGGACTTGGTGCATTTACTGTACAGAAGACGGAAGCCTAAACTTTCAGGGTATTTAATAGCATCTAGTAGGGAACACCAATTGTTAATGGCAACTGAATTGAAGAAAGTTTAGGTGAAGCCAGGAAATACTCCTATGCTTGTGCTCTTTGAAAAGTGACTGATAAACATCATTTCCTAAAGTCCTGAACTGCTGATAAACTCGTTGAGTCAACACTCAGAGTAATCCATATATACATAAAATTACTTTTAAATATTAGGCAATTAGGGTTTTCCCCATTACAACTGCCTTCTAATGTTCCAGAGAGATTACAGCTAACTTTAAAATAAGGGAGTCAGAGAACCTTAAGAACTTAATGTTAGTGGGAAAGGATTGGGGAAGATGTGCTGGAAATGGCTAAGACAGCTAGATGTTGAGGTACTTAAAACTATACTTAGAAAAAGTGAATTAATGGTATGCCAGTTTGAACAGAAACCTGTATCCTTCATCATGGACTAGGTACTGGTACACAAAGAATAAACTGTAGGGTTTGAAAGATGGCTCAAAGGAGTGCTGTTCTTGTCTCACGTGTGCAAGGTCCCCACACTCCAGTACCACAGCCCCGCCCCAACCACTCCTTCAGGTGTTACTTGCACACATTCTGATCGGAGTGTTCACCATGATATCTCCAGGGGTGGTGCCCAATCACACTTTCTAGCTGTGCTCTCAACGCCTTTTTTACTTGCAATATTTGCCACAGGGGTCATATTTCTTTGCTGTGGTGCTTACACACAGACCTGGCAGTGGTGACTGGAAACCACTAACCACGGTGGGGCTTGCAGACAACACAGCACGCAGGCTGGAAGAGCAGAAGTGTCCGGATTGTGCCTGTGTGTGGCAGCATGGGAAATGAACTTGCAGCCTGTTGCTTCCTGGGCGGCTTGCCAAAGCGGTGAGCCATTGCTCTGGGCTCAAAGATGCTATTCTTGAGCTGGGTGTTATACTTCAGCTACAAGTTAAAGCTTACTAAGTAGAATTCAATAGTATACAGGAATTGTTCAATGAATGGAATCCAAGCTAGGTGACTACCATGCAAATAATTAACACCAAAGTGTAGTTAGTGATTATCAAGTCATTTTATAGGGTTTGGTGGGAGTAGAGAAAGCACTTATAAAACAGAAAAGGTGACAGTGAAGAGTTTCTGGGAGGAAGCAGAGCTTTCCTCATTGTGCTAACGAGTGGGTATTTTCTCCTGCTGACCATGAGGAGCTTCTAAAGGAGGATTTACAAATCAGAACCTCATACTGAATGTGTAGGACAACTGGTGCCAGCATGGTATCTTCATTTCCAAGGTGAAAAGCGGGGGGAAAAAAAAAAGACCATTACAAATGATGAGGTAAACTATTGTGAGTCTTAGTACATACGCTAGAAAGCAGCCTGTGACTCAAATACTCACTCACAGATCAATAGCAAAGGAGTAGCTGGGGTGGTGAAAGTTCCATTGCTAAGCCCCACCTCTGATAATGGTAGCACCTACTCAGAGTTGGGGGAGCATTAAACAAGATAACATAGTAACTAGTCTTTAAGCTTCTAAGATCAGTCTACTCATGACTAAGATAAGAAGAGGGAGTCAGCAAAAGGTGACATGCACACAACACTTCCCACTTCATTTTCCAGTCTGAAGTTTCTTCATTTTTCAGACTAGATGGGTGACATGAATTTGAATCGCAAACTTGAGGAGCGAAAATCATTCTCTAAATTCTTAGGGTCTGCAGACCGCATGCCCTCCTCATTTTGCTACCATGGCCTGATACTGAATGGCTATAAAACAAGAGGTCTCTGTCCCAGCATACCTTCAAAACCTCTGCTTAGATGTTTTTTAAAAATATATTGGTCCTGGGGATTTTCCATTTTCTGTGAGTTCAACTGTGCCTTGAAAGAATGCTTATTATGTTTTCTCTAGAATTTTTTGGTGCTAAATGGGAATGACTTCCTGCTATATTCTGAGATGCAGAACTAATATTTTACCTCAATTTTATCTGGATGTTGAATCCTACTTGTATTCTGACTTGTATTTTTTTTTTTACCTTCATCCAAATTTGATGATGGCTCTCTTAACTGCCTGGAATCAAACCTTTATGGTTCCTCTTTATCTAGATAAAATAAACTCCAGGGGCCAGAGTGATAGTACAGCAGGTAGAGAACTTAGTATGCATGCAGCCAACCTGGGTTCAATCCCTGGCATCCCATATGGTTTCTCAAGCACTGCCAAGAGCAATTCCTGAATGCAGACCCAGGAGTAACCTGAACATTGCTGGATGTGACCCAAAAACAAAAAGAAAAAAATCCTCCAAAGAGTATTTTTGTTTAAAAAAACAACAAAACCATAGGTGATTCTAATGATCATCTAAAACTATCAACTTTTATTCCCTGCAATAGCCCATTAGTATAAAGTTAGAGGGCTAATAGATAATAACGAGCCAGAGAGCATGGGCTAAAATGCTAAGGATCAAAATATTATTAGAATAAGATGATCTGCTCCCTAAGGTCCTTCCTCAGAAAACCACCTGTGGTAGTACTTTCAGGGTAAAATATGGTCACGATCTCTCTCAGTATAAGCAGTTAACCCTCTCTAATACAATTTATCATAAGGATTAATTGTTATCGTGTTATATAAATTACTGTGTTAGCTTTCTTAGAAAACATGAAGAGGACTAGGACTGCATGTTTACAGAGGCCTGACAATTACTATTCAAAGACACTGCTCAAAATCGTTTCTTCTGAAATCCGAATCTCAGCAAGTTTACCAACATATATTAAACAAGAAAGAAAGGTTGCCACAAAAGATGCACAGTAAGATTCTGGATATATGATTATGCATATATAACATGTGTGATTGTTATAGTCTATATAATTAGATGTAATTTGATAAAAAATAATTTTTATCAAATAAAAATTTGATAAAAAGAATTAAAGAGTACAGATAAAGACTTTCACTTGTTTCTCCTATACATTTCCTTAATTTATTGTTTTTGTATCTATTATTGCCATAGTAATTTTCTTTTTCTTTTTGAACCGCACCCAGCATTACTCAGGGCTTATTCCTGGCAGTGCTCAGGGAACCACATTGGGTGCCAGAGATCAAACCTGGGTCTGCCTTGTGCAAGACAAGCTGAATTATCTTTTCGACCCCTTGCCACAGCATTTTGAAACAAATTTGTATGTTAATGCTTATCTTTAATAGACCACAAATGTCCACAATAGACTAACAGAATTAGTTTACTTTAATGAACAAGAGAATCAACTTAGTTTATACTAAATTTATATTTAATAAAGATAATGACAAAAAAAACTATACCCTTGTTTCAGCACTAGGAATATAGCTCAGTGGTAGAGCCAGGTGTGTGCTCTTAGATTCAATCTCTGGAACCCCATAATGAATGAAATTTTTAAAAATAAAAAATTTTAAATACCTGTTCCATGCGATGGGCCATCTCTTTGTGTAACTGCTGAATTGCATTTTTAGCTGCAATATCTTGAGCTACAAGTTTATCTTTGGAAGCTTTAACTTCTTTACTAAGTTCTTCTATTCTTGATTCTAGCTGTAAAAAATTTTTCCATATTATAACTATATTAAACAGACTAATACCTTACCTCAAATAAACATAAACAATTTAAATGAACATACTGATTGCAATGATTATATGTCAACCATAGAAATCAAAAGTAAATGTTAGCAATGTTTTTATAGCTCCTTTAATTGGTTTAATATAATCTGAAGCAGATTGAATAAACTGTAGATTCAATAAAATGGAAGCTAGAGCAATCACTAAAGAAGTAACTTTAAAAATACTGCAGAGACCACAACACCCAAAAGGAGAGAGAGAGAACAAAAGGGAATGTCCTGCCACATAGGCAGGATGGAATGGGGGGATGGGGGTGGGAGGGATACTGGGATCCATGGTGGTGGAAAATGGGCACTGGTGGAGGGATGGTTATTTGACCATTGTATAATCGAAACCCAAGTACAAAAATTTGTAAGTCTACAACTGTGCCTCATGGTGTTTCACTAATAAAAACTAGTAAAGGTAAAAGTAAAGGCTCTCCCGTTGATCATCGATTTGCTCGAGCGGGCCCAGTAACGTCTCCATTGGAGACGTTACTGGGCCCGCTCGAGCAAATATACCTTATATAGGTAAAACAGATACCTTATATAAATAAAAAATTATAAACACTATAAACAATTAAATATAGGTAAAATGACAATTCCTAGAAAGATAAACTGTACACTGGCTAAAGAAGAAATAGTATACTAAAAGACATGTAGTAAAAGATTAAATGAGCAAAATCAAAACAAAACAAAAATACCACCTACAGAGATATATTCAAGCTCAGATTATAGGTAAAGTGTACCTATTAAAATAATAGAAATTCCTTACAAACTCTACTCCCCCTAGAGAAATATTTCCCAATTCATTCTTGAGGACAATACTATCTTGACACTAAAACCAAAGACATCATATTCAGAGTTGAGAAAATTCTCAACACAAACCAGTCCCGCAATATACAAAACAAATTATACACACCATGACCAAAACCAAAAAGGGTAGCAATACAGTATTAACATCCAAAAATTAATGTAATACACCATTTATCAACAAAACCAAACCACATCTCATTAGAGGCAGAAAAAGCATTTGATAAAATTCAATACTCATGAAAAAAATTATTCAAAATGAGTAGTATAAATGAACTTCTCCAAGCTGTTAAAGAGCATCTGTGAAAACCAGAGTAAGCACTGTACTTAATGTTAAAGACAGTATGTTCCTGGGCTGGAGAGACAGCACAGCGGGTAGGGCGTTTGCCTTGCACACGGCCGACCGGGTTCGATTCCCAGCATCTCATATGGTCCCCTGAGCACCGTCAGGAGTAACTCCTGAATGCAGAGCCAGGAGTAACCGTAACCCCTGTGCATCATCAGGTATGACTCAAGAAGCAAAAAAAAAAAAAACAAAAAAAAAGACAGTATGTTCCTCCAAAGAAGAGAAACAAGAGAAGGTTCTCCAGCTGTGGTTTTCTTCTACTCAACACTGGGGGTGCAGACAATCCAGCCAAAGCAATCAAGCAAGGAATTAAAAGGCAGATGACATGATCTAATGCTACAGAAAATCCTAAGATATTCGCGTAGCTTTAGAATAAATAAGTTCAACAAAGTTTCAGAGTATACGACTGTTTTTATGTACTCACAATGAAAAAGTTTAAGATGAAACTAAGATGGAAGCAATTTCACTTACAATGGCAATGAAAAGAACATACTGTCTAGGAAAGAATCTACCAAAGGAAATGCAAAACTTACACTGAAAACTCAAAACCAGGGGGATAAAAAATTAAAGTTTTAAATAAAAGGAAAGATATTTCAGGTTTGTGAATTGGAGGACTTATTACTGTAAGAAGGCAGTACCACATTTATAGATTCAATGATTCAATCAGTGATTTAGTCCTTATCAGAAACCTAGCTCTCTATAGCAGAAATTAACAATATGAAATTGAAAGTCATATGGAAATGCAAAGACTTGAGAATGCCAATCTGGAAAATAACAAAGTTTGAGAATTTTCAATTCCCAATTATAATTTACTATTACAGAAGGTATCTATAATTTAATATACAACCCATATATAATTTAATTACTAAAGAAACATTTTATAATATGCAAATTGTACACGCATGTACATTGAACAAACATGTAAAAAACTAGAAATTAATAAAAATTAAATATAAAAGCCAAGTTATAAAATGCTTTGGGGAAACAGAAATCTTACAATATGACTTGAATAGATTAGATAACAACAACCACAAAATAATAAATCGAGGAACACTGACCAAAGAACTAAGAATACCTTGAGGGAATATAAAACTTGATTAGTATTTAAGAAATTATTTTGGTATTACTATATTATAATTTAAATAGGAATTAACTTGCAGGACATCCATTTACATATAAATTTTCAAGAATGTATTGTATAGACTGAAAAACTGCCTCTGAAGATAGTTATTTTGTCTTTTTTTTTAATTAGTGAAACACCATGAGGTACAGTTGTAGACTTACAAATTTTTGTGTTTGGGTTTCAGTTATACAATGATTGAGTACCCATCCCTCTACCAGTGCCCATTTTCCACCACCAATAATTCCAGTAGCCCTCCCACCCCCCCACCCTGCCCCGCCTTTGTGGTAGGGCATTCCCTTTTGCTCTCTCTTTCCTTTAGGGTGTTGTGGTTCACAATTCTGCACCTCAAAAGAAATAGTGACCAAAATACAAAGGATAGGAAAGGATATTCACCCAATACTCATTCGATAAGGGGTTGATATCAAGGATATACAAAGCACTAGTTGAACTCCACAAGAAATCATTCAAACCCATCAAAAAATTGGGTGACGAAATGAACAGAAACTTTCTCAAAGAAATCTGAATGACTAAAAGGCACATGACGAAATGTTCTACATCACTAATCATCAGGGAGATGCAGATTATTTCTTTTTACCTGTTTGATTGTGCTCATGTGCTGCTTCTCTGTTTCTGTTCTTTTTTTCAGTTCTTCTCTTAAATTGTCTTTTTCTGAACAAATGTCCAAGATGAGTTCCTGATGCTTCTTATTTTCTTTAATTAACCTAAGCAGCACAGGAAGGGAGGTATTCAAAAAACAACTGAGTATGTGGAGCATAATCTGTTTGCAGACCAGGATACTGATACTCACATTTAATAAATCAACACTCCTAAGTAAACCCATTGTAATAACACATTTAAATACAATCTGCAAAACACTCTCGGATCATCAAGCTACTCTTTCTCTCCTTGAAATGACATATTTTATTTTTTCTTAAAATTTAAGTACCTGGTTGCAATAGATTCAGTTTATGGTATTAGTATACAAGAAATTGTGAATTTTAAATAAAATGAAATACAATCAGTTAAAACCACACTCTCAAGTGCGGGTCTCTGTGAATCCCAAATATAACCTTCTTTCACTTGACCCCTATAGATCTGTGGATCTCAACCAGGGGCAATTTTGCCCTCTGTGTCATTGTGCGAAGACAGTTTTGGCTATAACAAGAAGGGTAAGAGATGCTGTTGGCTTTTTAGTGGGTGAAAGCCAGAGAAGCTACTTGAAACCCTACAATGCAGTAGGCAGCCTTACCACTCACAATCCAGCTACCCCAAGTGTCAAGGGCTGAGTTCAAGAAATCTTACTTTAGATTTTAAGACTGTTTCAGTGATATTTTAATAGTTACAGAATAACCAGTATAAAATAAGAACTACAGCAGAAATTTAGTTCAGTTACCCATAAGATTAATAAAACCTTTAAAATTAACCTAGTAACAACTACAACTTTACCTTTATTGCACAATGACTACTTGTTTTAGCTTTAAATACAATAGTAACTATCAAGTCTCTCCTATTTAAAAGTCTACGAAAATATTTTATGAACTGAAAACAAAGTCCTGCAGTACTTGTTCAAACTGCTGAACTGGAACCAGTTCTAATTTCATAGCCCAAGTCTGGCCTTCTTTGCTGAAGACCTCTCATGTGCTCCACAAGTACTGACCAAGAACTCACCATGTACCAATACTACTCCAAATGTCAAGCATGAAACAGCAAACTGACCTCCCATGGTGGATGTTACACCAGAATGGAGGAAAAACAGATAGAGGGCAGTGATTAAGAAACTAAAGGAGATGGAGAGAAGGAAGTGAACAGAGCTGTGATTTTTAGGTCAGGTTATCAGGATAGGCTGCAGGGGAACACCAAGATGCAATGAGGGAATCGTGCCATGTTTTGAAAGCAAGAAAACTTAGAAACAAGTTGACTCAAGCCTTTGGGCACGTTAAATCCTATGACTGGGGTGTTTGGGGGCCACACTGTTGGGCTACCTGGCTCTGTGCTCAATAATTTCCCCTGGCAGCGCTCAGAGGACCATGAGGGATGCTAGGAATCAAACTTCAGTCAGCCTCATGCAAGGCAAGCGCCCTAATCACTAAGCAACACTGAGTGTGGCCCAAAAACAAACCAAAAAATAAGAATTTCAGGTCAAAGATGTCATCACAGACTATTTCAGATGCAAGAAATAAAGAAATAAGACTGTTGGTCAAAGTTTCTGAACAAAAAAACTCTCTGAAGTCATTGAACAAGGTTTAGATTCTTTTAACTCTGCTATTTACTAATACAAGTTGCTAGTTGCTTAATCTTTGTTTCATTTACTTTGGCTAAAAAAAAATAAAATTACTCATGTCACACAGACTTGCTGGGAGGATTCCATGAGTAAGCATATCTAAAATACTATTATAATAAATAGCACTAAGTATTTGTTTCCATTATTACTAAAAATAATTCTTATCATTCACAAGAGGCAAGATGCAGTAAGAGTAAAAGCTAAGGAAAATAGGAAGAGAAATTAGGAATGATATCTGGGGGTACCCTAAAGGAAAAGGTACAGTGAGCCAGGAAATGAGGAAGTTGCCATAAAAAAATGAACTGACATTTCAAGCACAAAATCATATGCTTATTCATAAATAGTAGCCTTCAAGTACGGCTACGAGTGGGAGTGGCAGCTGTTAGTTCCGGAGTAGGATTGACAAGGGACCATATCTCAACTCTCCTATTTACAGCATCATTATTCCTAAGAGCCAAATGTTGCTTTGAAGAAACTCAAATGTTCACTGATTGGTAACCAAACAAACTGAGGTTATACGTACAGTGGAAAGTTAGTTGCCCAAAGAAAGGAATTTGAACACATGCTACAAATGGATGAGGCATGAGGAAGTAAAATGAGAGTCACACAAAGACAGATACCACATGATTCCACTTACTTGAAGTGTCAAGAGTAGGGACAATGAGAAAGAACAATGATTGTTGGCTAAGGCGGGGGGGGAGGGGGGGGGGGGGGGAGGGGAGGAAGAAGAAGGCGTTGTTAAATCGGTTCAGAGTTCCCGATTTGCAAGATGAAAATGTTATGGAGATGGGCTGTGTAACCATGTGACTCTACCAAACTGCATGCTTACTAAGATGGTGAATTTGATGTTGCATGTATTTTATCACAATTAAAAGTAAAGGCTAAAACAAAGGGGGAAAAAAAGTTTCTGGGTGCAAAAAGATTGAGGCTGACTGGATCAAACAATGAAGGATGAGTCACTGGGGGAGGGAGGACTGATTCACTGAGCCAGAGACTACGGTGATGTGAGGAACACTAGTAAAAGCCAATTACATATCCAGCAGTGTCTGGGATATGGTGTCATTTCTTCGTCATCCTTTGGAGCGCAGATTCCGCCTCCACTTTCTTATACACTCACCTCCCATTCCCCACCCCCTTTTCCACCACAAAATGAGCTTTTGATCACAACTGTTAGTGCTTAGGTGGTATTCCTGGAATCATGATCAGGGATTGGGTCCAGTCCAGTTGAGCCTGACCCCAATACACACTAGGATATTGACCTCTCTCTCCTGTTATTAGTAGCACTTTTTTTAAAATAGAAACAAAGATACTATTCTCAGAACACTGAGTTTTCGAAGCCCATCAAGGTACCTTAAAATGACAGTATCACTTTTTAAGAAAAAAAAAATCTGTCTTGTGTTCTAAAGGCTAGAATGTTCTATTTTCCTTTGTAAAAAAGATTATAAAAGAGTACTGGAACACAGGTATGATTGGCATATATAAATCTAGAATAAAAAATACTTGGAAAAGTTGAAAAAGTATTGAACTGTCATTAAAGTAGAAATTAATTCCACAAATCCAAGATAGGTCTAAAAATAACAATGATCTATTTACTAATTGTTTATCAATTATCTTGGCCTCTAAATTAAAATGTTTGTTTTTTTTGGTTTTTGGGCCACACCTGCAAGTGCTTAGGGCTTACTCCTGGCTTTGTGCTCAGGGATCACTCTTTTTTAATGAATCACCATGAGATGCAGTTACAGATTTACAAACTTTCCTGATTGTGTTCCAGTAAAACAATGTCTTGGTGGGGCTCAAGAGGACCCAGGAAATTGAACTCAGGTCAGCTGCATACAAAGCAAGGACCAACCCGATGTACAATCATTCTGGTCTTGAAATTAGAATGTTTTTAATCAATGAATTGACAGTGGAAATTTTAGACACTTTTTTCATGAACTCTCGTTTCCTTCTAAATTTCTTAGTTTTGACACATTATGTTCTATATTCTTTCAAAGCAGGAAAGTGAGTTTTTATAATTTCCAGATCTTTCATGAGTTCACATTACTTAACAAATTTCTTTAGTCTTATATATTAGGCAAAGAGATTTGCTCAATTATTCCATAAACAACATACCAACTGAAACTTCTACATACATGGTTCTATTACAGAATTAAAAGTGAGCATAATGATACCTTCCTTTAAGGAATTTGGTCTCTATTCCCTGTGAAAAATATAACGCGAAAAAATTAAAAACTTACTTCTTTATGGTGTATTCCTGCCGCAAACACTTATCTTGCACACACTTTTCAAACATAACTAATGCATGTTCGCCCTTATTCATTCCATTGGGTACTTGATGTTCTTCTGCAAACTCCTTAGATAAGAGCTCAGATTCTATTTCTTCCAACAAATCCTCTGATGCTGACGCAGTCTTTATTTTTGAAATAAGTTTCTTGGTGCAATCTGTATCATAGGGACTTTCTGAGTAAGTCTTTTGATGAGCTGCTTCTGTAAATGCAGACGACCTTAATTCTGCCAGTATTTGTGTTACTGTCTGTTCTGCTTCATTTGTTTCTGAAACTTGTTTTGCAAACTCTTCACAAGGAAAATAAGATCTTTGTTCAGAACTTTCTGGACCTATGTCTGTTTTAGCACAAGAGTCTTCCCCTCCACCATGATCTGGAATACCAGTTTCCCGCGCTTTAGTCTGATTATTGCTCTCTTTAAGCTGGCATGCAGCCTTATCACAGTTCAATGGCAACAGTTTGGACTCATTTTCTAAGCTGTTGCTTCCATCACCAGAAAATGAGTTGCAAGAGTCTTCCTTTACTTCCGGTGTTTTCCTAGTATTTTCATCAGAGGAAACGGAGACTTTGTGCTCTGTCTCTGACATGGTGACTGATACCAACTCACTCTGCATTTCTTCAAGTCTGCTCCTGATCTTCGTTTTACATCTAAGAAAGGCAGAACACCAAAACTTAACCAAAAACAAAGTTTTTTAAAACCAAGATCCAGTATTTACTTGCTTACAATCCATGATGTGGATAGAACTAAGGTCACCAATTTTACTACCAAAAATGCTTTTCAAGCATTTCTTGAGGAAATCAAAAGCAAAAACCAGGACACCCTCATCCAAGTGGGCCACGGGATGCAACAAGCTCTCATTCTCTTTACTCCTACAATTCAGACATACAACTTCACCAGTCAATTAAGCATGGCACTCCCCAGTGACCGCTGTAAGATGCTGAGGAACTGAAGCCAAGTAGCCGGAAGTTCAGTGGCCCCAAATTATTTAGCATTCACTCAGCTCCATAAAGAGGAAAGAAGACTATGTCAATAATCCATAAAGAAAATATTGAGAAGGGGGCTAGAGAGATAGTACAGCAGGTAGAGGACTTGTCTTGCCTGTGACCAACCCAGGTTCAATCCCTGGCATCCTCTATGGTCCCTTGAACACTGCAAGGAGTAATTTCTGAGTACAGAGCCAGGAACAACTCCTGAGCATTGCTGGTTGTGGCTCCAAAACCTCTCTCTCTCTCTCTCTCTCTCTCTCTCTCTCTCTCTATATATATATATATATATATACGCACATATATGTACACATATATATGCATGTGTGTATTGGGGAAGTAAGACATCAATAAAAACACTAGGAGAGTAATTAAAAACCAAGCTAACAAAATAATGAACAGTAAATATTAATGAGAAGGAAACCTAAACCCAATACAGCTACCTATAAAGACAAGACACCTAGAGCTCAGCTGAAAGTCATCAGGGTGTAAAGAACCCTGATAGGAATGGTTTTCATCCAGGCAGGAATCCAGTAAATACCATGGTGATTTCCAAATATTCTTATCATGAATAAACACTGTTCAGTGCAACTCAAATGTAGTTCATATGCACTGCTGAGGCAATACAGACAACATTTGCAAATCTAAGTCAATGACATTAGCTAGAATACATTTTGTGCTGTTTATTAGGATGACATGCTAGCTGTTTTCAGAAAATTAGTCAGCTTCAAAAATTACCCTAGGAGAGAAATATACAATTACCCAATGGTCTTGAAGTTAATGGAATAGGCATAGGAACTTCTGTCATTTGCCTGCAAAGCATGTATATAAGCAAAAAGGTTGAATTAAAGGGCATAAACAATTGGGTCTTAATAGAAACTGGAATAAATTTCTGAAAAACAGAAAGATAAAGTTTAAATGTATCTGTGATGGAGGTAGTAGCTGGAAGCTGGTAGGGAAAAAAAGGGGGGTATAAGGAATAAGAAGATAATCAGGAAGAATTGTCAGAATGACATGCAAAGAGAATTCCATTAAGGCTAATAAAACCATAATTATATCAGTTTCCAGCACACTGTTTCTTCTTAAATATCAGCTGAATTAAAGTCCAGAAGTAATAGTATGAAACTAATATTTAAGAAACATAATCCTAAGAATGTGGAAAGTGAGAATTCTTATAAGGGAATAAGAAGAGTGGTGTTTTCTGTTTGTTTGGGGATTCACACCCAGCAATGCTCAGGGCTCACTCCTGGCTCTATAATCAGGGATCACTCTGGTGAGACTTGGGTGACCATACGGGGTTCTGGGGATACAACCCGAGTTGACAGTGTGCAAGGCAAGCACCTAAACTCCTGTACTATCTCTTTGACTCCAGAGAGCAGCTGGTTAAAAATCCAATCTTTAAGTTCAGATTACCCTTTGGGCTATCAATTAAAACAAACATTGACCCTATACAAAAGCATCCATCTATGTATTTCCAAACACAGAAATTAGCACTGTTTTCTTGCTGCATATATTGTAAAAGATAAAGGCCATCTGAGTTTTAAAAACTTGGTTTCAATGACACAAATGTAGTAAGTAAAACGGCTTCAATGACTATGCAGTACTCCAAAATCTAGGACAGAGTAAAAGAATTCTCAAACAGGGCCACTCACCTATAACACTTTCCCCCAAAGTAACTCACATTAAGATAAAGCTTGTGAACTGTGTTACTGCTGAATTTGAAATCTTAACTTAGAAATCAATGTTAAAAACTCAAGTATTGTTTTAAACACCCTAATTAGTCAAAGCTACTTTAACAGAACTCAGAGCTGACCAAATTATAATAGACAACAAATACAGAATCTATTTTAAAAAAAGAATTTACGACTGTTAAAGAACTGTGACTCTCCAGCATAGGACATACAATTAGAATTAGGACTCTACTAGGAATCTATTTAAAAAAGAATTAAGACTGTTAAGGAACTGTAACTCCTGCATAGAAGATAAAATTAGAACTTGATGGTTCTAATCTGACATGCTTTATCAAGAAAAAAGCACTAAGCAAATATTAGTTAGCCCCTCATTCAGCTTTCATATTCCCTAGGGTTCAACCTCAACTTTATTTTCCCTCCTAGAATTCATCCACTTTAAAAACCTGAACAACTCAGTCTAATGCCCATATTATTTTCAGCCCTGAGTTCTTGAATTACAGATAGAGAGTTACCTCTTGGATTTCAGTGTCTGTAGTCAGATCTCCACCTGAACATAACCATTTCTTTTCGCTGGCTGTTTCATTCTAGTGTCAAATTGGATACCAACGTCAAACTTGACTAACCCAGGGCATCTTTTCCCTGTCAATGATATTGGGCCTCCTTCCTTTCCCTACTCCTCATATTTGATACCAAATTTCATGTCTCCTGAAACCAACCATCTTTTACTGTCCCTGTTATCTATCTGCAACCCAACCCAGGCCTGCTGCTTTCGTACTGGAACACCTAATGGTTGCTCTTGGAGTCGGGTAGGCAACTTCCCAGAGGGAGTGGAACAAGGTTGAAGGTTCATGCTCCAGGCCTTGTGCTGCTCCGGGTCACCTAGGGCAACAGTAGACTGTGCTTTGGGGGGGGCCTTATACAAGGCATGCACTAGGGGACCCTTTGAACCGTCTCACCAGCCCCTAAACTGATATGTTGTTGTAATTTGGTGTCCACACTTCACACCGGGCAGCAATTGGGTCCTACTCCAGGGGTGTGGAGTAGGGGGAAGCGTCAGGGGACTCATAAGGCACTAGGGAGTCACAAAGAGCCTAGGATTCCTACAACGCCTGTACTCCAGTGCTGTAAGTTATCTCCTGGTTGATGGTTTCTTATTCTTACTTCATGCTTTCCTCCTCTCCTTTTTGCAACTCCAAGGAACAAGGAAGTTAAGGAAGGACAAGAACAACAAGGACAAACGACTTGTGCTGGCACCAAGACATGTAACATGGTCCAAAAAAGGGGCTCAAGTATGCACCACGCTTCCTCTGCCAAAGGAGGACAGGAGCTGCTCCCAGAAGTGGTCCTCCACGGCAGAAGAAACCACACTACTCCTACAATCTCCATGCGTGTCACCAATTCCACAGAGCACGCCATCAACTGCAAACCTATGACACAGGAAGGGGTTTCCACTGGCTCTGTCCTCTTTAAACACTTAGGTAAAGAGCTGGAACAATAGCTGGAGTGAGTAGGGTGTTTGCCTTGCACACAGCCAACTTGGGTTCAATCCCCGGATCCCATTATGGCATCCTCAGCAATGCCAAGAGTAATTCCTGACTGAAGAGCCAGGAGTAACCCCTGAGTATCTCTGGGCATGGTCCAAAAATCCCCCTCAAAAATGTTTAGGTAAGAAAAACTCTACCCCCACTGGCTGGTTTTCTCCTCACTCCAGAAGGGCTAGCCAGAGAAAGAGAAAGTCTGAAAGAGCCAGAGCACAGATCACACCTCCTCCTGCTCAATCTAACCAGCTGGAACAGATTCAACCTTTATTCAAGGAGACCAAGCTTTGGTAGCTGATTTTATATTTTAAATCGCTGAAACCTGTCTTAACTTCTGGATTAAGTGGCAGAAAAGTTTAGAAAACAAACTGAAACATTAATTTTTGTGTTGTGTGGTGAGCCATATCCAACAGTGTTCAGGGCTTACTCCTAGCTCTGTGCTTAGGGATCACTCCTGGCAGGGTTTGGGGGAACCATATGGGGTGCCTGGGACCAAATCCAGGTCAGTCGTGTGAAAGGCAAACATCCTATCCACTGTACTATTTCTCTGACCCCAAAGTGAGACATTAGAAGGCACTTCAGAGGGAAATGGAGGAGATGGAGAGTTCTACACTGTAGAAACCAATTAAGAAAAAAAAATTGTCATGTTTATACTTCAGAACAGTATATTACTCCATAAACTGATCATACGCTTTTGTCAATCTTCTCAACATCAGTAAAATGCTAGTACTTATACTTTACTAGCCTTGATTGGTCTACCAAAGACTCTATTTTGCACTTAGCGTTTCCATGACTAAATTCCCATCCAGAATGTTCTTCCCTTCACTCTATGCAGAGCCCAACTGTATTGAAAGAAGCAATTCTGAACCTACTCCCCCACATTTTTCCACATTAGACATTTTTCACAAATCACAAACACAAATCATCCTGTTGTTCGTCGATTGCCTCGAGCAGGCCCCAGTAACGTCTCCTTCATCCTAGCCCTGAGATTATATTCAAGGCTCTTTAGGAGAATGAGACCCATCATTGTTACTGGTATTTGGCATATTGGGTACGCCACGGGGAGTTTGCCAGACTCTGCCGTGTCAGACATTTTTCATGCCAATGAAAACATACTGGATTTATACTCATCTAGCACACAGAACCAAAGCTTTTCTTGTGTCATTTCTCAACAGGTAGTCTTCTGCTTGTCAAATGGCCCCTACACTTTCAAAAAGAAATCTCACCGATCTGGATAATGGGCCGAGCCACACTGCTCCCGTGGTTTAGTCCCTGGGTCTTGAGATGCTGGGGGCACAGGGGCCACCGACTGCACTCAGGTGTCACCAAGGCCACACTGAGTGTGTACAGAGGGCGGTAGGGATCATATGGCACTGGGAATCAAAGTCAGAGGGCTCGCACTTTGAATTATCTCCTTAATCCCAGTTAAAAGGCTTAATTCGATCCCAAGACAAGTATTTTTTCTTTTGTTGCTCAATAACAAGCCCATAAGCTTTGAAAGTGTTGGTATAAATTGGTATCTCATAATTACTTAGCCTGCAAATTAATTTTTCTGATTAAAAAGGAAGAAGCGTTAAAGAAACAGTGTAAAAATATAACAAAGTCACACACAAAAGACTAACTGCACAAAAATGAGATGTGTCAGGTGTGATGGGTTTGATTATTTCCATGATTAACCAGGGGGTGAAAAGTCAGTCGAGTCCTTTCATGGGCCTGTAGTTGGCAGTGCTGATCTAGGCCAATTTGGTGGTTGTCCAAGTTGTTTGTTGGAGGGTGGGAAGGTGAAAAGGTTGCTGTCATCAAAGCTGTATACTAAGGATGGAACAGCCTAGAAATAGACTAAGGCAAAAGAATGTAAAACTAGACATTTAAAAGATTTTTATTTAGAAAGTATTTGAACAAATCAAAATCCACTAGGACACAGAGATTCAACTTTCAACTTGAACTACGGCATCTCTTACTTTTCAAAGATTAAAAAGTAACAGATCATTGGATAGTTTAGCAATCAATCATTAGGGAGACAAATTATATTTAAAACATAGAATCACAAATTTCCTTAGTCTTTTTTTCCCAAAGATGTTTCTGACACAGTACTACAGGACCAATTCACACTTCAAAACTATTTCAGTGGGACCAGGGATAAAGTTCAGCAGTAGAGCCCAGGCCCCAAATATGAGATCCTGGGCTTGATCCCTAGCACCACCAAAAAAAAAGTTTAAGTTTAATGAGAACTGGTTTCGCTCTTACTGGAGCTCATCAGCTGTAGGCAACTGGTCAAGAAACATTTTTGATGTCTTAAACCAAGCATCCAGCCTGGATTTTACCAATGAACTCACATTTCTACACAATTATTTCCATAAAAGAACTATATAAATACATTTTATTGTCTTTTTTGGTTTTCTATTAGCATACAAAATTAAGCTGCATATACAAATAAATCCAATTCACATTTATATGATTATCAATAAATAAGTCATAGACAGGAGTTATGTAGAACTATGTTTCCAAACTCTGTGTTAATTCTGCAAATATGCAGTAAATATATATTCTGTGCTGGAACTCTATGTGTTGGGAACATGGCTGTAAATAAGAGAGTCATCCTTTCTGGCACCTACATTCTAGTGCAGGGACCCAAAGTAGAGAGACAGAAGTTAAATACTCTACTCTTCAAGTTTACTGTATATTAGGGGTAGGGTGGACAGGCACCTGGTGCTGCTCAGGGACAATAAGCTGTGTCAGGGATCAAACCAGGGCTGGCACTTCGCATATTAAGCCCCTTACCTCCTCTATTTTCCTTCTGGCCCTCGGTTTACAGTGTTTTAAGTTGAAGGTCTCTCAGTGTTCTGCCATAAGCTCTAAGACATGTGAATGTCTGAAGTCCAACAGAAAAATCTGACACCATTCAGCATAATTACTTACCCAGTACAAAATTTAAATTTGCAAATGAGCCAGGTAGATAGTTCAAAGGGCTAAAGAACATGCTTTGCCTAAGGACCAGCCAGTTTTGATTAAGCACCAGCGTGAGCACTGTCAGGTGTTTCCCAAAACTAAAGAATGGAAAAAAAAATTGCAAACTAACATTTAAGGTATCAAATAATGTCCAGGAAACTAAACAGGTTGCACCCATGAGAGCATTCCTTTTCAATATGATGGTTCATAAAATCCTCAGAAATACATCAAAAGGATTTTTATAAATTCCTCAAGCACACTTTGAAAGCAGCAAATACAAAAGCTTTCTGACCACTTCCAATAAGGTTCTGAATCAGCAACTGAAACATTAACTTAAGTAAAAGAAAAGATTCTATAGTCCTGATCACAATGTAACTGATAAAATATACATATAACTTCAAAATACAAATACTCTCCTGGATAAAGTTTTTAATTAAAAATAAATAAATAAAACCGAGTAGCTAAAGTGATAGTACAGCAGGTAGGGCATTTGTCTTGCACATGGTTGACATGAGTTCAATCCCTGACACCCCAGGAATGATTCCTGAGCCCAGAGCCAGGGGTAAGCCCTGAGCACCACAAGGTGTGGCCCCTCAACACCCCCCAAAATTGAGGCTCACATCACAAGATGAAACTATGCTGACAGTAAAGCTTCATGTAAGGTAAATTTATATAAGCCAAATTCTTTAAAAGAAGACTTTGGCTAAGCTGGCTATTTAAAAAAAACTCTCTCTACACTAGTTCAATCAAAAGGGAAATCTTTAATAAAGTGACATCTTTATGAAGCTCGGGAATAAAACTTTAACTACTTCCTTATCAATAGGTTTTACAAGTTGCCTTCAGTCCAACAGTTTAACAGGTGTTACAAGGCCAATGTTGTTTATCTCTAAGGGAGTTTGTCTAGCTTTGCACCAAGACTCATGGCAAAATGAATTTTAGGTGTGTGCATTTTATCACCAAAAGAAGAAGTTAGGAAGACAGACTCAAGGCATCAGATGTAGCAGATTGCCCCTCTTCCCAGAGTACGGAATCCAGTGGCAGCATAATGGCTGGAAATTAAGAGCTCCTCCAGAGTTCAGAAAAAAGACGATAGGTGGCCACCTCATCTATCACACTACTGACTATCAGGCTAAATGCCTTATTATCTGTTTGACACCTCAGATTTGTGAGCTATCATATGTATAATGCTTTTATAGGCTTAAAGTAGAAAGTTATTCGTGTAGATCTTATCTTAAAAGTATCCATTTAATGAATCTAAAAAATAATTTCATGAAATTTATTTCAACATTTTCCCAAAGTATAAAAACTAAACAATAGGGATGTGAGAAGGGTTAATAACCCAAAAAGGATTCAAGATAAACCACGAATCTGTCTTATCCAAAGATTAAGAAGTTCTGCTTAATGCTTAAATTTTGAAGCCACCTTTGGCCTGTACTTGATACAGCACAGTTTATTAAAAAAAAAAAAGTTTGTTTATTCACTAAATAGAATAAATAGCATTTACTACACAAACTTCTACACATCAGACTTAAATCAGTTCATGTGATTTAATGACAAATACACTCACAATGCACCCATGATTTTCTGTGTTTGATTTCCACTGCTTCTGTTTTATTTTAGAATCGCACCTGGCTGTACTCAGGGCTTACTCCTGGCTGCTTATTTAGGGATCACTCCTTGTTTGGGGCTTGAGGCCATATGCTAGTGCTGGGGCTCAAACTCAGATCAGCCATGGGCCCGGCAATCCCCTTGCACACAGTTCCATCTCTCCAATCCTGACTTTCACTTTTAGTCTATTTAAACCTAATACTTCTCCTTTTGTTTCCTCCTTAGCCCTGATTTGAAAAGCTCAGTAGCTAAATAAAAATAAGGCTGGGAGTCAAAGAGATAGTACAGCGGGTGAGATGCTTGTGTGCCTTGTACATAGTTGGCCTGGGTTCAATCCTTGGAACCATATATGGTCCCCCAGTTAGGAGTGATCCCTAAGTGCAGAGCCAGAAGATTCCTGAGCACCACTGGGTGCGGCCCACCAAAAAAAAACAAACAAAAAATATAAATGTCTGAAATAATATGACAAAATTCATGTATTTGTAAATTTAATTACATGGGTGCCCACTGTGACCTTGAAATTAGTACCAAGTACATCACAATATTGAAAGAAGGATGACATGTTTGAGAAATCAAGAACTTAATTGTTTAACGCTAGCATAAGGGATAAGAGAAAAACCTAAAGTTTACTGAAAGAACATTTCAGGTTAAAAGAAAAAGACCAGGGCCGGAGCGATAGTAGAGTGGGGAGGGCATTTGCCTTGCATGTGGCTGACCCAGGTTCAATCCCCAGCATCCCATACGGTCCCCGAAGCATGGCCAGGACTTAATTCAGCAGTAACCCCTGAGCATTGCTGCGTGTGACCCAAAAAGCAAAAAAAAAGAAGAAGAAGAAGAAGACCATTTTTTTCCCCCAACCTCTAAAGGCTGCTGCGGGCACATAGCTGAGGCACAGGCCTTATACGCTGCCCCGCCCAGTTGGATTCCCAGCCTCACACAGTCCCTGAACAACAGCAGGGACAGCCCTGGAAATGGGTCTGGTGGTTCCTGGCTCTGCGGGACCTTGGCACGCAACCACCAGCCCAGCCAGCTGAGAAAGGCCAGGAAGAGCCCCAAAACCTACGGAAGCACCCCCACCTTCCAGTAAAAATAAATTAATCAGGCTGCTTCGACCTATCATCTCTCCCAAGCCATCTTCATACACCTCATCATGTCAGTGTGTGACTGGAAATAGATGCGTGAAGCGAATGCACTCAAGCAATCATCATCAACTATGCTGTCACTGCACAAGCATCAAAGGAGATGCTTGAGGAAACAAAAGGTGACCCAGTGGTTACTGGGCTACAGTCACGGGACTGAAGCCCAATAAACCTGGCCACGGAGGGGTCACCAACTCGTCTCTGCTGCTTAAAGGTGGGGGCTCTGAACGGGACCAAAGCCTTAAAAAAAGAGCAAAACCAGTAAAACACACAAGCCAGGGATTTTCATGGATATTCACTTGGCAACTCTAACAAGCTCGACCCTTACAAAGTAGGAGGATTATAACTCTTGGTGCTGCAAAACGTGAAGTAATGATACCTCCAATGGGTAAACTCGGAAAAAAAAAAAACACCTATAAAAGAAAGGGGGTTGACGAGGTAGGAATAAAGATCCTTTACTGTTTTTACTGTTTCTGTTAGTCCTGGACAAAGAACTGAAAAAGCAGCTCTTACAGACGCATTTTATAACCAAGGAGACTGTTCGGTTTCACTATCAATCTCTCCTGAAGCTTCATTTTTCCCGCAAGAGCAACACTGCTCAACCGAAGCTGCAGTTAGCAGTTGGGAAGGCTAAACCCACAAGCAGCATATCTAAACACTAATTCTTGGTTGCTTTTATGTGGTTTTTTTTTCCCCCTTCTTATGGCTAACCAGCGCACGACTTGCACACTCTTCCCTGGATTTTGTGCACATTTTCCTGGAAAACCACCACCGCCACGATAAAAACCCGCAAAAAAGAAAGAAAGAAAGAAAGAAACTCGCAAGTCTATCATTTGGGAAGGAGGAAAAACAATAAAACCAAACCAAACAGCTGGCTAGGAGGGCACAGCTCGCACACGAACGCACGCAAGTGCCAAATGGTCCGTCTTCCTACTTAAAACCCCAGAGGTGAAAAGTCTCGGGCCCCGGGAAATCAGAGAAGCGGGTTCGAATCCGCACATTCCCAAGGCCAAATCCGGGCCCCCCCTCTGGCCTCTCAACCAAACCATCAAGAAGTGCCTGCAAGCAAAAAAAAAAAAAAAAAAGTTCTCCAAGTGCTCGCGGCTCAACCACATGACCCCGACACTGTTCCCCCCCCCCCACCTGCAACTCGGGGCCGGAGCGGGGCGGTGGGGGGGTGGGGGAACCAGGGAACAAAAAAGGGGGTAGGGGGGTTAAACCCCTTGGCACGGTCGCTGAGGGGCTCGCAGGGGCGGCGGCGGCAGCAGCAGCAGCAGCAGCAGCGTCCGCAACTCGCCAGCGCTCCCGGAGCTCCGGGATGCCCTTGGAAGGCGAAGCCCGCGGGGAAGCGGCTCCCAAGCGACTCGGGTGCAATGGGGGTCACGGGAGCGCCGGCCGGAGGCGGGGTGGGGGGCGAGCGTGGCCGCGACGTCCAGTCCGAGGAGGAAGACCGGCAGCGACGGGGGCGACGGCTCGGGCGAGAGCGATCGCCGGGCAGCTGGGGCCCGGCCGCCGGGCCGGGGAGGACGCGGGGGGACGCACGCCCCCGCACGAGCCCCCCGGCCGGGGGGGCGCGCCGCACCGAAGGGCTCCGAGCTCCGCCCCCCACCCCCCACCCCGGGTCCCCGGCGCCCGCCTCCCTCCCGGCCCGGGCGCCCGCGGGCTGTGTGCGCGTGTGCGTGGGACCCCCGGCGGCTCACGCCCGGTCCTCCGACCTGGCGCGCGACCCCCCCCAACCCCAGCCCCAGCCCCCGAGCGCCCCTCCGGCACTCACCCCACTCCTCCGCGCCTCAGACCGCACCCCTAGCGAGGCCGCTGCAGCTCCGGCTCAGGGGCCCATTGCTCCACAGGCAGAGGCGGCCCGACCTGGAGGTGGCGAGGCGCCGCGGAGGGCCAGCGGGGCCGACGCACAGCAGCTCCCTCCGCCGCGGCTTTTCCGGGTGCGTGTGTGTGTGTGTGTGTGTGTGCCTGGTTTTTTTTTTTTTCCTCCTCCACGCCCCCCCCACCCCCCAGACCCCCGCGGAGCTGACACATCAACAAAGATGGCGGCGACGCTGAAGTCGGCCCGGCTACAGCTGAGGGGGCGGGGCTCCCGGGAGGAGCCAATCAGCAGCCGCGCAGGCACGTGACGCGCCGCACCTTGGGCCCCGTGGAACCTGTCTGCAGTGGGCGGGGCCGCCCGGGCCAGCGCCTCCGCCGACCTCGCCCCTCTCTGACCGCGCGGGGACCCGAGCCCGGGGCCCTCTGGGCAGCCCACGCTCCCGGCCCTGACCGGCCCGGCCGGCTCTGCTGCTGCCGTGCAGCCCGGCCCTGGCGGCTGCTCCTCAAAGCCCTTCCGCGACCCACGCGAGTTCTTTTCTTTCTGAAGGGCGTGCTCCCTGGAGCGCATCCACCCTTTGGCCCTCGGATCGGTCAGAGATAGGAAGCAATAAAAAAGAGAGAGAGAGAGAGAGAGAGAACTCGGAATTGTGACTTCCCGGCTGAAGGCAGCGCAAACCTGACACCTGGAGTTGGGCGGAGTCCGCAGTCACCTGCCCAGGCTAAGGAAATCTTTCCTGGAAGGGGCTCGGGGTTTCCGTCACGCTGCGTTAGTTGCTAGAGCGCAGCATCCTTGGCCATTGTTTAATAATAAACTGACTGTTGGGGCGTCCCGCCGCTGCCCCCGACCGCGAGCGCCCGGCGCGCAGGGTGTGTCCGCTCCCGCGTGGGCAGGGCAGCAAGCTAGCTGCAAGGGGTTGGGCGACCCTCGGGAACTAGCAACCAAAGAGTGTGTCGGCTCTAGTGGCCAGCTCGAATCGGGAGGACCAGGTGAGATTTAGCGTTGCTGGAGGTTTTTGCAGACCTAGTCTGTGCAGGCGGGAGCTCGCGGATTTAGAACTTCTAACGCGTCGATCATGAGTGAAAAGCGCTTCGTTCTGATGAGCTGTCAACGCAAAGCGTTCGTTCCTAAAGCAAAACTAGTTAAGCTCTGCGGTTAAGCTGCCTCTATGCGGTGGCCTCCAAAAACTTACATTCGAAAATATCAACGTCGTCCGTTTCTCTGATTAAAAAACACATTTTGAGTCTCTTTGAGGTTACAGTCCCTGAGACAGTCCAGAAATCATTTGGCTTAGGCCGGAGCGATAGTACAGTGGATAAGTACACTTGCCTTGCACGCGGCAGGCATGGGTTTGCTCTCTGGCGCCCCCGATGGTCCGTCCCCCAAATCCAACCAGGAGTGATCCCTGAGCACTGCTGAATGTCCAAGCCCTCCCTACTCCCCAAAAAAAAAGAGAAAAAAGAAAAAAGAATAATACATGAAGAAGATAGATTATCATCCTTTTGTAAACCCTAAATGGAACAATGAACCTAGGTAACCATCATCAATAAGTCTAAAACTAGTATATAACAATCTCAGGTGAAACTCAATAGTGGATGAATGTGGCTTAGTAGCACTTGAACTTGCCAACTCAATTAAGAACATTTTTTTTTGGTGCCAAGAGTTAACCCCAGGGCTTCACATAAAAGAAACTCTACGACTGGGTCTCATCCACACCCCAACTGGATTTATTCTCAAGTTTCACAAAGATAAAACTCGATTTTTATGTATCTTCGGAAGTGATACAATAGAGAATAGCTGTAAAGAATTCTTGGGCTGGGGGAGGGGTGCAATCAACAATTAAATGTGCAAAAAATGATTTTTTTCAATAGATAAATTGAAAGAAGTGAAAAGATAAAAAGAAGCAACTAAGGTGGGACCACCAGAGGGTTGCAAGACTGAACCTCCACTTGTGGTGGTGAAAAAAACGTGGCTAGCAGGTTTTTCTGAGAAAGAGAGGAACAGAACATTCCTCAAGTCTTTAAGCTCCAGTTAGGCGTGAACATCTGAGATGCTAGTGTGGTTGAAGTGAGATACCCCTCCCTTCCCTCTTCCTTGCAATTTAAGATCTCAAGATTTAAATTCACCCAGCTTCCTGCCCCACTTGCTGCCTTTTCTTTTCAATTAGGCTTTCCTAACTTGCAAGTGGAGTCCTGTCTGGTTTAAGGCAGGCTAGTCTAACTTTCTAAACTAAATCATTGAGGGCAAAATAGAATCTTCTTGGATCTTGACTGGAATATACTATTTTAAATTATTTGACTGGAAATTTATATGGTAATCTTTTTTTTTTTCTGCTTTGCTCTTTGGGTCACACGTGGCGAAGCACAGGAGTTACTCTGCACTCAGGAGTTACTCCTAGTGGTGCTCAGGGGACCATATGGGATGTTGGGAATCGAACCCGGGTTGGCCACATGCAAGGTAAACACTGTACCCGTGCTATCTCTCCAGCCCCAGTAATCACTTTTAAAGGTTGGGTACATTTTGCTAATAGTATTTAAAAGTGATTATTCTTGGGGCAGGAGAGATCAAATAGGAGGTAAGGCACTTTCCTTGCAAGCAACTGGCTTGCAGTACCATGACTCTGGTTTGAAGCCCTGGCATCTCATACGGTATCCTGAACACTGTTTAGGGTTCATTCCTGAGCATAGAGCAATCGTGACTCAATATCCACCCCCCTCTCCCAGCCAAAAAAATTTTTAAAAAGTCTTTTTTGCGTGAATTTTTGTGGAGTTTTGTTTTTTGAGCCATAACCAGATGTGCTTAGGGCTTACAGCTGGCTCTGTGCTCAAGGATCACTCCTGGTCACCTTAGATGGTCAGTGGCATGCTGTTCCTTAACTCCTGTTTTATCTCTCTTGTCCCAAATTACTCTCTTGTCCCAAATTAGATTTTAGAAAATAAATAAATGTGTATGGATGAAAAGATATGAGTTCCTAGGAAGTAGCAAAGTGTTAAAAATAAATGAATATATGCTAACAGTTTGGCATTTATGTAAATATATCAAAGGCAGCAAGAGTCAACTGATCTCCAACACTGACATAATCTGAGCAAGGGAAGTTATATGGTGTTATCACCCAAAGTATGTAATAAATATGTAATATCTGAGTCCATATAGAGAAATATCCATCCATGTTGATTTAATACATTAGTGGAGAAGAGACAAATCTCCAGTCCAAATGAATTCCAAGTAATTTCTGTAAACACGGCACCTATAAGTAGAAGGAGCATCTCTTCCTTTTGTTAAGCATAAGCACTGCAGAATTACTTCCACATTGGTAGTATTAAAAAAAGAGGGAAAAGTGGGAAAATCTGCCCACACTATTACTCCAGATGATCTTAAATATTATTCACTGTCACTGTCACTGTCCTCCCATTGTTCATTGATTTGCTCGAGCGGGTCCAGTAACGTCTCCATTGTGACAACTGTTACTGTGTTTGGCATATCAAATACGTCAGGGGTAGCTTGCCAGGCTTTGCCATGCGGGCGAGATACTCTCGGTAGCTTGCCGGGCTCTCCAAGAGGGGTGGAGGAATCGAACTCGGGTCAGCCATGTTGGCCGCTTGTAAGGCAAATGCCCTACCCGCTGTGCTATTGCTGCAGCCCTAAATATTATTAACTATTCTAAATCATGGCCAGGATGTAAACGTGATATGGTGCAAAGAAAAGAGCATTTCTGTAGTCTTCCTCAGGATGATCAATAACTCCAGTCTTACCATGGAAAAAAAAATACACGAGGCAAACAAATCACCTACAGAGTGCCTTACCTTTGCCTAGCCCCATCCTGGAAGCAAGCACTATTATTCCATGCAGCTTGGGCAACTACCACAGTGGGAGCAGTTGAGGGCGGCAGATGTGACAATTAAATGTGATGTGGGATCCTGGAAAAATAAGAGAGAAAGTAAAAATATATATAGAAATTATAAATAAATGGTGATTTTTGTTTATACTGTCAGTATTGGTTCCTTAAATGTCATAACAAGTGTTGTTAATAAAAAGGGAAATCTAGATGATGTCTTTGTGTGGGAACTGGGTGCTGTCTTAATATGCTCTGTAAACCTAAATGTGCTTTACAAATAAAATCTACTGAGGAGGGAATCTGAGATCTTGAGTGCTCGTGAACAATAGGCGATGGGGTAGGGGGTTGAGAGATACCGGCAAGACTGAATTGATCACGTGGAAACTGAGGGATGGATATACTCAAGTCCTCAGCATTTGTTCAAAAAGTCCATGGTAAAAAAGAACCTTTAGGGGCTGGAGCGATAGCGCAGTGGGTAGGGCGTTTGCCTTGCATGTGCCCGACCCTGGTTCGATTTCCAGCATCCCATATGGTCTCCTGAGCACCGCCAGGGGTAACTCCTGAGTGCAGAGCCAGGAGTAACCCATGTGCGTCGCTGGGTGTGACCCAAAAAGAAAAAAAAAAGAAAAAAAGAAAGAAACTTTAAAGGAATCCATGTTTATTTACTCTTGGGACACAACCAGCAGTGCTCAGTGCTTTCACCTGACTCTGTGCTTGAGGATTATGCCTAACGGGATTCAGAGCACCATTCAGAGTGCCGAGGCTCAACCCCGGGTCTGATGCATGAAAGGCAAGGGCCCTACCTGCTGCACTTGCTCTCCAGCACCTCGCCCTCCCCAATGTATCCTTGGGTCATCGTCGATGTATGGTCCTAAACTCTTGGAAGTGGTGGAGTGCAGGCAGAAGTGATTATAGGGGTTGCACTTGGAAGAACCAGCAGAAGCAGTGGATTCACTGGGGGGAAACTTAGTTAAGACTTTCAGAGATTCATGGGGCTGGAGCAATAGCACAGCGGGTAGAGTGTTTGCCTTGCACGCGGCTGACCCGGGTTCAATTCCCAGCATCCCATATGGTCCCCCGAGCACCACCAGGAGTAACTCCTGAGTGCATGAGCCAGGAGTAACCCCTGTGCATCGCCGGGTGTGACCTAAAAAGAAAAAAAAAACAGACTTCCAGAGATTCAGGTGATCTTCATCTTCATGAGAAAGGCAAAGGATCAATTGCATCCCCCCCACCCCCACCCCCTCTCGGCATTAAACTTGACTTGAACGGATCTCAAAACGTAT